TCAGTTGAAAGAGCCCCACGGAATCTCATTTCTGCATGATGTAGTCCATCCACAAGCTCTAACGTCACATCTCAGCATGCCTCCTTGTTTTACTGTAATATCCGTCTCCCACTGCGGGATATTAGCATTATCAGCTGCCACGACAACCCAATTTGTCCTCATTGGCATGGCAGACAGGGCTATTAAGTGTAATCAGCCAGCTAGCATATTTAACTGAGCTTCCCCTTTGAGAAGTCTCATTCAGATCCCTGCAGCATTTGAACTGGGATGGTTATTGCCATTATGTTCTATAAACAGAGCCGCTGGTTTCTAAACTTCTGAAAGTTGTAAAGGGGGCTTTAGTGGACCTGTTACTGCAGCCTTTTTTTCTGTAAACAGCTGGCACAGCTGTTTAAATGTGAAAGTAAGAAATAAAATTGCTATCACAGGCGGTGATAGATGGCTAAGTCATGATTTCAGGAAGTTTGCTGAACACACATGCTGTCAATAACACAGCAGCCCGCTCAAATGATTGCACAGCTGTTCGTCACAACAAAAGCTTGATAGATGGCTCTGTGTACACCACAGAAGAAGCCCACAAACAGCCGCCAAGCAGACACGCTCACATTTACTCCACCACAGTGTGAGGAAGCTAGATAACCTGGAGAGAACCCATGCATGTACAGGGAGAACATGCAAATTTCGCAAAGAAAAGCCCTTTGTCCCCCCCAGGGACACGAAGTGGGAGCCGATCAAATGGCATTTACCTCAATTTTATTTATATAGCGCCAGATCGCGAGAAATGTCATTTGCTGGCACTTCAAAGAAACAGTCAAATTCAAACCAGTTAGAGTCAAATTCATTGCAAAGCAATCATAATCCAATTTGACTCCAGTTAATTAAATGACTACAATTCCGTCTATCTTCATGCAAGTATGCTCTTGAACATCATTCCGTAAGCATTGAGTATGGGGAGAGTGAAGTAAGATATATAAAAATAAGTGCAAGGATTTGTATGTAATGTATTTGAGACATTATGATACCTCAAACGTAAAAATAATAAATGTCTGTAAAAAAGGAGCAAAGGGAAAAAAAGTTGATTGGCTTTTTTTTTAAGATGAAGATGAAGTTTGTATGTCACAAACCCGTCTTTTAACATAGACGTTCATCCATTGCTCACCATTTCCAAAGTTTAAATTTAGATATTTGAGAAGCTGCTTTCAGTCACATCTTCAGAAAAGCAGTAGAGCCCCTGATGATTTCCATGAAGGTAGTTTTTATTTCAATATTAAAAACCTTAAAGCCTAGTTTCTTGTTTCACATCTGAGAGAAGAAAATCTGTTTGTGAGCGTTTGTTGGAGTGGAATTCACTTTCTCAGCCTCCTACCATGTCTAGCATTGACTCATGATCCTTCAATAAGGTCAGGGTGCCAACACCAGAGAATATTCAAGTTCTTTCATCTCTTTGTGTTTGCTGATAACTTTTTGTGTTTGCTGATCAATACTGATGAGTCTAGCTTCTGCAAAAAGAAAATGCCTCAGCTGGTCTGATTACAGACTTTCTGCAAATATCATATGCACAGGCAGCATGTCTCAGCACAGCGAAGGCAGCGCTGCATAAGCTTCAGGCTCCCTGGGGCATCTGTGTTGAGCTCAACCTGAAGGCTCGTCTCTTCCCTCTGCCTCTTTGTTTTGCAAACAGGGGGAGGGAGCAATAAGATGCTGCAGAGACTCTGCTGTTCCAGGGTTCTGCTTGGCTCAGCAAGTGGGGTCCAACAAAATCCATTTTTCTGCATCTACATCCTCCTCCTCTCCAATTACTGCATCTCTCAGAGCATGCCATGCCTCCATTCTACCATGGAGTCCACTAAAGCAAAGAGTCCTGCCTCTGTTTGATGTGTCACTTCATTCAGTGACTTTATACACAGCTTAGAGACTCCTAGTAGTTTTTTTTCTTATTTATTTCTGTGATGGAGCTTCCTGAAAGTAGTCTTATCATTTATTTTCAGAAACTTTATAGAACATTTTCTCATAATAAGGTATTAATGTCATCATTTTTTTGTTTTTCTCGCACACATGACAGCGTGCTTCTTCACAGAAAATTAATTACGACATCCATCAAATGTCTTTAAACACCTGAGAGCCTGTCGCCTCAGTCTTCCTCATTTCCTTTGTTTTTCATCACTTTGCAAAAGGTTTCAGATGGATGCACACGCAGCAGCTGGCTACCTTACTGTTTGGGAGGAGAGACGTGCCCTTCAGTGAGCAGAGATGGCTGCAGATTGTGCTCCGTGCTGTGCTGCATTGCAGGAGGGCGTCTTACCTTGTGAAACAACATGCGTCCTTCGCTTGCAGGCCCCCAAGCGCTCCGGCTCAGATGATCAATTCGATCCAGAACTGTGTTGCTCAGCTGCAACTTAATCCCATAATGCTTTGGTATTTGTTGCAATGGAGACACCCACATTTTTTCTCTGTGGATTTCTTGTCTTTAGATTTTGGAAGAAAAAAAAAAAAAGGAAAGAAGAAAAAGCCTCGCTATGCATCTTGCTTCTTTCATATACGCGGCATGCAGGCAGCTTTAGAAGGATGAAACACGGCATTAGACCACTTTTGCCTCTGGTACAGGGAGTAGAGAGATAAAATCTTCGTCTTGCCATGTTGTGATAAAACAAAGCTAGATACTACTCTTCCCTGCATGTGCACAAACCACTTTGGCATGTGGAACCAGACGAGATGTGAAAACCAATCTTTAGCTGTCGCTTTGATTTCTGCTGTTTAAGCCCCAGTGCAATGTTACACCTAAAAAAAAAAAACAGCCACGCAGCATAATTTTAGAAGACCCGCGATTGTTTCAGTCTGTTGTTCTCTTCCAGTCCTCGGTCGTTTTCAAAGCCAGCAGGGCACAAGCAGAACAAGACTTTACTGTCACCACTTAGCTCCCAGCAGGCTTAATCTGGTCACCATAATGACAATGGCAATGGCAAGATGCACCCCCGCCGTTCCACGGTAACTACATATACGAGGGGTGAAATGTAGATTCACGCCAGCCTCCTCCCGTGTGGCCTTTAGGAGCAATTTAAAGAGAGCGGAGAGACATGGCTAATTCATCTGCATTAATGAGGTAGAGCGCATCACTGGCTGAGGAAATCAGGAGCTGACAGCGTCCTGTCAGTCAGACAGGCAGACGCACAATGCTGATCTGACGGGGTAACTCATCCAGAGCGCAGCGTGGAGCAGTCGTATGTCTTTCTTTCATTACAGACATGACCCGGATCACCGGCCCATCCATCAGCCTGTGTTTATTCAATCACCAGCAGAGTAAATGACTTCATGAAGCCGGATAAATGGCAACCGGAGGGAGATGCAGAATGTCCAGATCATCATTTAACCTCTAACTCATATCCTGCTGCTTAAGTGATGTTCTCACCGCAAATATCTAGTCCTCAGAAAAATCAATAAGGAATACTGCAGATGATGAAGCAAGCACTTATTGCCCTGAGAGTGAGGGATTTCATCAGGAAAAGTTTCTCCACTTAAAGTCTCGAGAAGTGAACTAAGTTGGTTTCTGAGAGCAGCGCCGAGATTTGCTGAATGATAAGATTGTTTCAAAGTATTTCTCAAAAGTTGGATACTGAATCAGCATAACAATAAATGCTGGTGGTGGAGATTAATATACCAACAGTATGGAAATGTATCCATCCTAAATTGAGTCACAGACCGAATGCATAACAAACAAGATATTTTTATTCACTGATTGATTATTTTTTTAATGGTGGTGTAGGAGTGGGGGATTTGATCCCTCTGTGTTTCTTGCAGTGAAGAGTGATACGTAAGCTCTTGATCTAGAGAATAAGTTTTATTTTCTGACCAGTGTCACCAGAAAAACAAAATCCTATTTGGTTTAGTTTTTAAACAGTTAATACATTTTTAAAAAGTCTATTCATACATTTCTTTGAATAACATTTGAGCTTTTTTAGTGTTGAAGCTTTGTACCCCTAAAAAAACAGCTTGGCAGTAACATGGCAGCAAGATAAGAATACAAATTAAATGAAAAAAATCTTATTTAAACCATTTATGTAAATCCGCATACACATATTCACTAGTCCTGACAGTGCAAGAGACCAGCTAAAGACGAAAACTTGGAGAAATATTTCTTATCAGAGTGAGAATTGTTTGGAGAGCCCATGGAGAGCTGAGTCAGTCTGCTTTTGAGTTTGAGGTGAGCTTACAATTGGTAACATTGGTCTCACGGTGCTGTGAATATTGCTTTCACCTATCAGAATGTAACCGAACATAGCAATTTATAATCACTAGAGCTGCAAGCGGAACCACAAACAGTGCCTAATGCCAGGGATCCCATTGGGTTCTGTTGTTCATATCAAACATTAATGTAAGGAAATTTTCCAGAAAGAGGTGGGGTAATTATAAGAGAAATGAAAGACTGAGCATGAACAAATCTTATAAAAGGAAGACGTGTGGACTTTTACTACTTTATAGTACTCTACAGCGCTGTTACACACAGGGATTCTTGTTTTTTTTCTCTGTGCAACGTGCAGTTAGCTCCCTGTGCCATGTAGTCCAACCTGTTCAAACTTGATAGTTACTGGGGTGGAAATAGCAAAGTAATGAGTGGTTCAAGCACTGAGAAAAACCTTGCTATCTGGGAACATTTGTGATGTTCAAGATCTACACAAAGCAAAAAAATCTTCATATATCTATCCTTTTTTATATAGATTGAATCTGTATTTCAACATCTCTGCATTGAGATATAGATTTAATGTATCAACTTATCACAGTTTTAAAAAACAAAAATCTATCATGGCTTCTGATCCAGTACTTCATGCTTCAGGAGACTTCTTGCCATATCACATCAACCTGCATCTTTCAAAGAGACAGACACGCCGCAAAACAGTTTGAGAGCACCGCCGCTGTCATCACGCCGAGTTTGGATGAACGTGAACATTTGGCTGTCAGGGTTCGGGGACAGTGGTGGTGTTATTCTGCGTTGTAGTGGGTGCGCCCTGGGTTCGGCTGGCCTCGGGTATTCGGGGGGAATTTATGTCACGGGCAGACGAGGCTCAGGCGAGGTGAGGTAGACCTTCACTTAGACGAGTGCAGTCAGGCTTGCCGGCGAACGCCGTCAGCCTAATGCCAGCCCGTAGTCTGGGAGGAGCGGTTCGCAGCATCTGGATAGTCAAGCTCCATTAGGCCCCTGGCTCCGTTCTACACCGGCTGCATTACAGCCTTGTTGACAAATGGCAGAAGAGGTGGCGTGTGTGATATGAATCACACAACTCAGGGGACCTCCAGCATGAATATCATCCCTCCCACCCCCCCAGCTCCCTGATCTTTCCCCTCCCTCCCTCCCTGTTGCCGGGGCTTGCTGTGAACTCTGATGGTTGCCTGGTTGGTAGTCGGTGGGACGGCGTTAGCTCTCAACCTTGGTGAAGGACTCCATGCAGCATCGATGCCTGGTGTCCTTGCCGTCACATTGCTGCTGGAAGAAGATAAGCGCTCCAGCCTTCAGCACACATGTTGTCGGGTTTCCGTTGGAGCACTGCGAGCCGAGCTGCAAATAATTAATTAAGTGAGACGGCTGAGTAGAATCGTACACGCTTTCATGATGACCGGTGAATGCAATCTCCCAGAATCACCAGTTTATTTATTTTTTTGCTTTGGTGTCATCCTGAAAGTTAAGTGATTCAGCTGTTATCTTTTAATGCACCTTTACATTAATCTAAATTTAAAAGCACAAGAAGCGTTTTTTTATCGGGCTTTGGAGGTGTTTCATGTGACATGTTAAAAGTTTGGTCCTTTCCTTCTATTTCGTCCTGGCGATGAATAGAAAAACAATAATGTTGCCTCCTGTTTTTGCAGGAGAACAGGTAGAAAAACACTTACCTCACAGTTACTGTTTCTGAGGGAAAATCTAGAATCCTGCTGTGGGTCCTCAATATTTTAAAAGCATCCTTAGGCCTTTTGGCTTGTCCACGTGAAGCTTATATATTACCCGTGTAGATGCTGTCACAGCACTGTTAAGCAGCCAGGTATGGTTGTGTGTGTGTTCCTGTGTGTGTGTGTGTAGAAGAATTAGGTATATTTACAGAGCAGAGCTGCTGAAATAAAACATGCGGTGCTATATTTCTCTCAGACACACAGAGCTCTGAATGGTGAAACACACACACACACAGGAGCTGAGCTGGGTATTGATGTGTAATGCCCTTGGAACAAAGCCAAGACGGTGAAATGGAATGAAAGGGAAGCACTTACTCCCAAGGTTGTTCTTTACAGGACCCATATCTGTCTGTGTCGTTGGCTCACTGCTTAGTAAACATGTGTGCGCCGCTTCTTAAAAAAACAACTAAAAACTAAAAAAAAAAAACTGTGTAGACCAACCTGCCTGTTGACTTTAAAGATTCACGTCAATTTTCTGTGCTGTTCGTTGTCTGAATCGGGATGTCACGGCTAATCTTCAACTTCGGAGCTGGCAGGAGGCTGTTGTTGTCTAACAAGTAGAGACAGCCAAAGAATGGGTCCCATAGTGATCAGGACCCCTGCCAGCGCATGGAAGTGGCAGCTGATCATCCTCGGTTAATAGGCGCTCATAATCCTCTGTGAATGTCTTATGCTGTCCCTCGAGAGAAGGGAAACTGCGGCCCGTATTTGCAATCAGTGTGCATTAAAGACTGACAGTTTAACTGCTGCCATAACTGCGACAAGACGGCTTTCTCTTTGCGAGCTGGCTAGAAACAAAATGGAAACTGTGAGGTGTTTTTAAATGTCTAACAACTGCTTTCTTTTCTCCTTTTTCCATCGCTGCTGCCGGTCTCTGCTACAGGAAGTTGAGGTTAGTGGCTCCTTTGTGAATTCTTGTGATGCACTGTTCTGTCTCGGCTCTGATAATTCGTCTAGGCTGATGGTGTCACCTCCCTGATGAGCGGGAGCTGAAGCACAAAAACACATCCATGAAAGAAATAAACCGCAACACAATTCTCTGTGTGAATAAACAGATTTTTTTACTCAAACTGCATTAAATTTCAGGCCAAATAAACTGACAGCTGTTTCACTAAAGGATTAAATGGGTAAATAGAACTCAGAAATACACATTTCGTCTTGTAAGACTGAATACTGTAAATTTGTTGAAAAAGGAGAACAGGGTGAATTTTTTAAAAATAAAAAATAGATAAGGGAACAGTATTCAAGTTGCGTTCAGCTGAACTTGTTCAGCTTGACTTGAGAGCTCAGTCGTGGCATTACCTGAGCAGAATTCGACTTAGCCGCACTGATCAGACCTGATCCGCGGGGTCCATGCTGGGCCTCGTGCCGAGCGGTAACCTCTCCACTGTTGATCCTCTCTGTCCTGACACAGTGAGAAATGGGGCGGACTGAATACAGCAAAGCAGACAAAGAATTTTGGATCATTGTTCTAGTGCAACACCAATAGGGACCCTCCTGAAAGAATAAGTGTTAGTTTGCAAATGGTCTCTCTTTACAAGAGCCGTATTTCCTTTTCAGGGTATTGCCACTTGACATTCATTTTAAAAACTACCTCCATTACTTGTCGATGAAAAATAAACACACATGTAAGTACACTTGAATGAGCACAGCTGTCACAAAGATTTTGCATTTATTTCCTCTGTACTCTTTACTTAAATGCTGCCTATCTTTTGGCAAAGAGGAATAATCAGTCATATATCTTGTAAGATTACAACATACTGAAAAAATGTTAAGCGCAAATCTCTGGTGTCTGCAGCTGTCTGTCTACGCATTCACAAAGGAATCAAATCTTAGCCTCTGTCTCAGAACCCTGTGAGCCAAAGTCACCTCCAGAACAAATCCTTTCGGGAAAACCAGGCGGGCGTTCTGGCTTGATGATCTCTTGCTGCTTGCTGGGTGATAGATTACCATGCTTTAGACATAGCTGTGTTTAGGTTAAGATGAGCATATTCTATCATTAAAGCTAAATGTATTGTCTCAGGTTAAATGAATAAAATTACGAATAATTGATAATCACAGCTTCTAAAACAAAAATTATTTTAGAAATACAAAATAAGAAAATGCGTAAGAGTAACTTCATTTTTATTTAAATGGTTCTGGTAAAAAAAAAAAAAGCTCTCATTGCTTTTCTTTAAAGTGACAAAAATGCCTGACTCAGTAACATTTATGTGTAATTTGTACATGTCAAAAGTCTGAGCTGCTTGCTGTCACATTAATGCATTAGCGTCCACGCTAGAGACGGGATAATGGTTTTAAAACAGATTAATGACGGCACAAACGTATTGTCTTCCTGCTTTTTTTACAGCATCTGAGACAAATCGACAAGAAGAAGCTGTACTTAAAAAGCTTCTGCTGTCTGAAGGCACAGCCCAATCATGTGCAAATATGTATTTCCATTCATCCCAGTGACTATAAAATCATGCGGTTCGTTATTATGCATCAGGAAGGAACTAGGAGTAAAGCTGCTTTTCTTCTGTATAAAAATGACTCGGCTGAGTTGGTTTTGGCATCTGGTTAAAGCGCCTCCTGGTCCAACTGGACTGACCAGGGAACAACTTGGGGCTCTCCAGGATTACCTGGAGCCACTCTGATTAGAACTGTGACTTGTTAAACTAATTTGTTAAACTAAACAGTGACTTGTTAAACAAAATTTTGAATTAGATTCATGGCATATAGCAAAGCAATTTGTTATACACTTGGATGTCCTCTCTGTCCTCCAGTTTCCTCCCTCATTATTTATGATAATCTGAATTTCAGATGAGCATGAGGTAAAGGACTTTATGCATTGTCATTCCCTCTATGAAGTATCAAATCTATTCATGTGAATATTCTTTTTCTTTTTAGGATGACTACATCAAAAACACAGATGAGAACACTGGCTCAGATGAAAGTAAGTGAGAGTATATATCATATTTATTGCAAATGCTTCTAAATGTTTTTTTCATTTTAAGTCTATTGCTGTGCAATAGAAGTTTAGGAGAAAAGTATGATGTTATACAGTGAACCGTTTGCCTTTATGGATTAACCCGAGACAATAGACTGGCATGGCACTCATTATCAAAGATCTTTCTTCTTTTATTAGTTGGATGAGGTCATCCAGCTCGTGCTGAGTGTTCCTCTAAGGTGTCGGTACATGTGAAGGGTGAGAACACAGCTGTGGTTCAGGAAAGCAGAGGTTGAGCCTTCAGTTGAATCCATTACTTTGAAAAGTGTTCTGTAATTGCTTTTGCTGGTGCGGGCTCAGCTCATAACTCCCACCGGGCTCTATTTTCCTCCACAGGGGTCCGTTTCTAGAAGAGGAAAAAAATCCTTACCTATAGAAAAATGACTATTTTGGGCCATGGAGGAGGAGCGGAAGTCAATAAGTTCATTCCTGCAATATCTCAGATAAAGGTCATTGGGAGTGTGTTTGACATAAAAAAAAGTCTAAATAAAATACTGTGCATCTGCTCTTGTTTGATTATCAATGAGAGGATCATTTTGTTAAATTTGTTGGTCCAAAAGCTACAAGTGACTAAAGAGATGATATTGTGTACTAAAAATAGTTTTACATTTTAGCAACATTTTCCCTTTTCAAAGAAAAACTGTACACAGTGACGTGGTGCTTTTAATTGTTTGCTTATTTCCTGTCTACAGAGTTAGTAAAAAAAAAAAACAAAGAAAACAACGAGACAATTTGTTGGTAAAAGCTTTTAGAAGTGTAAAAAAGTAGAACGTGTGGATTTGACTTGACCTCACATTACTTCTGCCAATGACTTGTGCTCTTGTTCATGCACCTTCACAATGTGTGTGCTGCTGTCTACATATTTTCTCACTAATTTAAACTATGATTGTTTTATTTGTTTAATTTAGCTCTCAAAGAAAATGATGGCCCATACAGAGAGTGATGTGCACTGCACAGGGTGTGAAGTTGGTCCTTTCTTCACCAGCTTTTTCCTATTTTTGGATCTTAATGATCCATGATTTTGACATATGGACCTGAATGGGATCTCTCTGTTTCCAGTTATGAACAGAATAAAAGAACAAAGTGTGTAGCCTCGGCTGTGGGGCTGTTACCTGGATTTGGGTACAATTTGAAAAGAAGTAGATGCTCTTAATCTGACCTCAAAAGCCTGAGATTTGAGACCTTTTAATGCCAAATTAAAAACTTTTTGTTTAGCTTTGTAGGACTTCATGTGGTTCAGAACAATGTTTAGGTTGGTGTTGAGCAGAAGGACACAAGGTTCCTACATAAAAGAGCGCCAGACTGCTCCCACCTATTGGCCTGTTTTGCATGATTTTGCTCCAGCTGTGTTAACGCTAAACCTCCCACACAGAATAGAACTTTTTGTCCTCTGTGTGATCCTCGGGGGCTCAATATAGTTTAACTGTTGTCTTTCTTTGAGCTCCCTTTAGAAGTAATTGCTGCCATTTAGTTGACTCTCTGTCTCGGTGATCTTGCCATCATGATCTGGCTCTTGTCAATGTTACTCGCTTCCCTTTTCTTGCTTGTAACACATTAATTGAAAGAAGTGACTGTTCATTTGCTGTCTAATGCATCTGTGGCAGGTGTCATTGTGAAAAGATAATTAATGTATTCTGTCAGGTAGGAGAGAAAGCGCTCAATGATTTAATCAGTGGATCAGATGTCTGTCTTTATTATGGGGACAGATTATTATGGGAGCAAACACAAAAAAACGTTGCTTTTTAATTTACAACCAAAGGAATTGTTTCAATTTTCGTTCATAGAGAAGAGAAAATGTTTAAACATGTCTAACTTTCACTGGTCATAGCATTTCTGCAGTGCATTCCGCAGTGATTTTTTTTTTTAACATAGAGGATTATTCAGCTGTAAGATAACTCTTTGAAAAGTCATGGTAATACAGAGCTGTGAGAAATATTTCTCTGAGCAGGCTGTATGTGTGCTCCTCACACGTATTGTGGCCCATTAGCAAACCTCTCCCAGTGCGCTCTCGCTGCAGAGGGAAAGTTGGAGGTCGATTGTAAAGCCTCACCCACACTGCCTTAAAGCCAGAAGATGTGAGGAGAAGCAGCTGGGGATGTTATCCCAGACATCTGTTCTCCCAACAGGAAGAATAAATAATGTAATTTTCAGAAAATGCCTTCCTTGCTGTAGTGTGGGCGATGCTCATTTGAATACCATTGATTTGCCACCATCACGGCGCTCCCGGACAAATTCCGCTGGCCTAATTGATCAGAGCCTTTTTTGCCAATTCAACAAGACAGCGGAGGCTCCTGCAAGGTGTATACGCAGCCCCCGGACAGAGCAAAGTATCTAACAGGAAGCAGCAGGCCCCTCTTGTGCCTTTTATGAGTTTATGATTAAGACATCCGTTGAGCTCCATGTGCTCCATTCCTGTCAGAACAAAGTGGTGCCAGCTATTCCGTCCTAAAAGAGAAGCTGTCATAAATGAAACTGACATTTAATAAAACTGTTACGGGGTGATTACACTTGAATTTCTCTAACTTTAGGAATCCCACCAATTAAATGTTAGAGCACAACCCTCTCCTAAACCGGCGAACCGAGTGGCCCCATATCTCTCGATCTTTAATATTTTAGATGCTCAGCGGGTGCCCCCATATCTTGGCGGCAAAGGTTTTATTTTAGTCCAGAACCACTTCGGCGCAGTGTAAAAAGTGAAATGAAAGGATGTTGAAAGGTTTTTTATTGATGATCCTGTCTAACTGCAAGGCGCCACGCAGCGGAGCTCAGACAGCGGGAAGGCTGCTGATCCTGGAGGAGAAAACTGCTCTATTATAGTGTTTTTGTCTGCAGTGTCATAATAATATTCACAGAGTTTGGAAGCAGTTTCAACGCAGCTGCATCGCTTTTGTTGTCATGATTAGAGTTGGATTTAGAATAAGTGAGGCTGACACATTCAAGTCCCGGACTGAATCCTCGATGGAGAGCAATGTGCACCAGGTTGCAGGAAAACACTCTTTATCTTTCATATAAACTAAATCTTGTTTGATTTCCATTTTTAGCAAGTGGGAGAGGTATAAAAATACCACGAGGGGGATGTTTCAGATCTGAAGTTGCTGAAAGAAGGCAGCCTTGAAAATGTTCATAAATACTGAACATGGAAACAAGGAAAGAGTTGCACATTGTTATCTGAATCGATACGGAAAACGTTCATCTTAGTTTCTATGGGAACAGAGAATAAAGCAGAATTTTTGATTGAGTGAAAGGTCAGGCAGTGGACCAGTTATTGGGGAGCCATTTTATTCATTTCCAATTCGGTAGATTATCATCATCCCATGATAAAAATCCATATTTTTATCATGATAGCTGTTTATGCAGAATCTGCTGAAGCTTGTTGTCTCTGTCTCTGTCCCCCCAAAATATACTTCTGACAAGACTTTACCTATATCTTCTTAAAGTTAATTCATACATCCTCATAAACTTGACCGGTCAGAGCATTCTTTTTGCTGTTACTCCTGCACATGAGATTAAATACATCCTTGATGCTCAGTTTAAGCAAATACACAGAAAACATTTCACATTAGCTTTTTCAAATTGAAACCAATGCAGATGTAGGGTGTTTTATTTAAAACTGCTATTTGTCATAAGGAAGTTGGAGAGGTGGAGATAGTTTGCAGTCCTTTCAGCCACTTTATGACTATAATCATGCTTTTCCCTTCTATTTTTTCACACTTTAGTATTTTCATCCATGCACTCTTTTTTACTTCTGGGGGCATTCCATATTTATGAATTACAACTATGCCCTTAAAACTATTATTAAAATGATAATTACGACTGCCTTTAAACTCTAGTCACATGCAATTTAGAAAAGTAAGAACAAAAGGAATTTTTTTTGGGTTAGCTTAATCCCAACATAGTATAGCATATAGAGTCCAGTTCATGTTTGTTTTGCTTTGTTTGCAGAATCTCTTTAGTAAGACTGTCTCAGGATCTGGATTTTTGTGGACTTCCTTTGTTTTGTCCATACTTCTGGGTTTGCTGCTTTTTCAGTCTTTATTTATTTAGTCATTTGTTTTTATCATTATTTTGCTGTTTGTTTTTCCCCAACTTTGAATTGTGTTTTTGTTCATATGCTTCTTTCCTGTTGTTGGTTATTGAATTATCTGTTTTTTTTCACTTTGTTTTTGTCTTTAGATGTTGGTTTCATGCAGTTCTTTTGAGTTTTGTCAAAGTTTTTGCTTTGATTAGTTATTCCTGTCTGGCTTCAGTTCTGCTTTTTTTATTTCATAGTAACATCAATTGCCTTGTCATGTTCAGCAGCTCCACACCCTTCACCTGTGTCCATCACCCTCAGCTGCCACCACTCACCCATCATTCCTTTGAACTGTGTCATCTCCCTGTTTGTCAGGTTCCCGCTGTTGCTGCTATTTTCCCTGTTTGACTGTGCTCTCTGTTTTCATTTGATGATAAATCTGTTCAGTTCTTTCTACGTTCAAGTCCTCCACATCATACACGAACACACATACACATCTAACTGTGAAACAGAAATCAATTGTGGGCATAAATTTAAAGACACGTATTTGTCAAAACCTTAGCTCTACCTGACTCTTTCTTGTGTTTATTGAGTTTGTGAGCTTATTCTGAGAGCTGTTGTTTGAGTGCTAATGGATTTGAAGTGCAAAAACCAACCAATGACCAACAGGATTTTTAAAAATAGCACACACTACTCTGGGAACCAATACAGGATATCATCCTCAGTGCTTTGCCACTAGTAAATAATACATTTTGAGACTTTGACTCACGTTAATCTCCAAACACCAGATTAAATGGTTATTTTCCATTGTTAAAATTATTTCTTTTAAATAAAACTATATATATAGTACACTACAGAAATGTTGGCTTGAATTAAATCCACTTTAAATCAGTAGAAATGTCCTGTAAAATGTGGTATTAACAGTAATCCTGTGTATGATTAAGATCATTCAAATTACACCTGTGCAGAATGCCAATTCAAGCAGGTGAAGTGAACAAAAGTTCATCGGTCACAAAACGTTATCTGTGCAAGACGCAGAGTTTATGAGTTATTAGCACGCTGGGAGTGTGGCTGAATCTGTCTCTGAGTTCCACGGCTGAGCAATAGCGCTACAGTTTCCCTTCAGGGATAAATAAAGTCTTGTGTTTCCACCCAAGTGACAAGTACAATCCAGAAAAATGGGTTTGTAATTAAATTAAGATAGGCAGCAAACATAATGGCAGTCCCATCTCACTGATAGTTATTTTTATTTAATACAACTGAGTCTTTTTTCTTCCCTCCCAACATACTGAATAATTGCCATAGGAATTAAAAATACTCAAGTTTTAGATTCACATCCTCGCTTTCGCCCTCCTCGCTATATGTTACAAAGCAATTTCATCAGTATCCCCCCAGAGCTCTTCAACTGTATTTTGCAGGATTAGGCCACGCGCCCTCCCTCCAACAGAAGTGAAATCTTCTTTTGACCCGATTAGTTTTAATGATGCTCATATAGAGATGATGAAATGGTTCCCTTAAAACTTTCATAAGACAAGTGAAAAATATGCTATGCAAGTCTCCATTGTTCTGTGTGGTCACAAGCAGTATTTTATGTGATCAGTTTGATCATTTACAAAATTAGATGAACGTACACACTTTATGCACATTAAGAGTTGGTAAATACAGATATTTCCATAAGATATCTTCAGATTATTCTTTTTTTCTAAGTTTTCATTAAAAACTCAAGGAGTAGTGTAACATTTTGATAGCTGATTTGGGTCATTTATGCCAGAATAAGTTGAAAAGTCACCCTATTACCAAAACAGATGCCAAGGCAGAGCAAATGCATTGTAAAATAATTATTCCTGTTACCTGCTTTCTCTTAATTTGGTCTTTTGGAACCCCAAAAAGCACAAAAAACACCCCCACATTTTAAAAAGATTTTTTCTGGCTTATTTTACAACCCCATTTCCTCTTCAAACTATCACTTAGTCGACAGATTTGCAAGGTTCTACCTCATCTGGTGACTATGTTGACTGCAAAGCAGCTGCTTAGAGCTGACTCAGCATTTCACGGCTAAGATTTCTCTTTGCGGGTATCACCTGTCACTCACTCTTAGATTTATCTCGGGGCCCCAGAGTTTTCCGAGGCCTCACCCGTAAGGCGGTAAATGGACTGAGAAGGTGTGACATCCACTTTCCGATGGCATTGACCGTTGGCAGAGGAAGGTGGAGGACACGATGCTATTTCCATCTCAGTCTATCAGTGGAAAAGAGGCCGGCATTGAACTACTCAACTCTCTGAAGGCGGAGAGACAGAGATAGTATGGGAAGGAGTGGGGGATGAAAGACAGGTATACATGAGACAAAGATAGAGTGCGAGTTTCTATGGGAGAGAGAAGCGGCAACCCGGGGAGAGACAGCAATAAGTTGACGTGAGGGAAGTGAGATGTTGCGGGGAGATTCTCAGTCAGTGCTGTCAGGTTTTCAGAGACAGCCAGCGGAGACTGCCGGAATTGCTATAGACAATTTGCTGCCTCACTAATAACAGCTAGGCATCAATGTGGTTTTCTGCAGCGCGGGCTAAAAAAAAAGAAGAGTAAATTGACTCTTTCGTGCACACTGTTAGATTACTTTTTCGCTGCACATTTCATGATTTGTGATGCATACACTTGCATGAAAGATAAGAGAGAATGGGGGATAATTGTAATTGGTGTAATTACACAGAATGTGATTGTGTAGCAGAGTGAGAAAAAAAACAAAAAAAACACCAGTCCTACTTTGCATACTCACGATCAATCTGTTGAGCACATGCTCTCTGTCAAAGGAAACAAAAAGCAACCAGAGGCTGTGTTTGTCTGCCAGAGGTGTCAAAAATACAGATTTTAAATGAAAAAACGCTCAGGTGTGATTGACATTTCTGCATTTTCTGTGTTGTTGTTTTGTGTTCCCAGCTGTCGACACCACCAAGGACCCGTGCCAGAATGTGAAATGCAGCCGACATAAGGTGTGTGTCGCTCAGGGCTACCAAAGGGCCACGTGTGTCAATCGCAAGAAACTGGAGCACAGGTAGGGGGAGTTTCAACACTGGCATTAGAGGATGTCTCATGTTGTCTCTATCAAAGGTGATAATGACAGAATTTCAAAGTTTCCTGATTGGACAGGAAGGTTAGTTTTGCTGACTAAGGGCTTGGGTTAGTCTAACTGGGTTCAGTCTGGTTTGAAAGCTGATGGTTTTTGGTCAGTAACAGGTCTACAGCATGTTATGCGTTAAATTAAAGAAGTAATTAGGTGGTAAAGAAGGCAGCCTAAAATCTTAATCCCACTGAGGACTTTAGTTGAGTTTATCGTTTTTTTTTCTTCAGAATTCAGAATTTTAATTTAAGTGAAGATGTTGAATATCCCTGTTATTTGAATAATGCTTGATCCACATTTCCTGAATTCGAAAAACAAACAGCAGTTAAATCTGTCCTACTGTAGGACACATGAGTTGTTTTCACTTAAAAATGTAACTTGAGTGGTTAGACAATCAACACACAGCAAACAAACACAACCTGGTGTGATGGAAGTGGTGCAAGAAGCAAGAAAGCTATTAAATCAGAGTAAGACTATTTAAATCTCTTTTCTTTTTGCTGTGATTATGTTAAATACACAAATAAATCCCCCCTAAACTAAATGAAACGTGTAACATGAACAAATCTCTGTCACTGTCAGATTAAACTAATTTACTTATTTGCATGGTGACAGAGGATTTGAATAAAATCATTCTAAACCCCTTAAAATGAAACTGATTATAAATTGATATGGGTGAAACTAGACCTTGTGGTTCCACTGAGCACCAATGGGATGATGACATGAAGCGATACACTTGAGGGAACTTAATTTTCCTAATCTACCTTGAACCACAGAGTTAAGTGGAAATACACTAGACCAAGGGCCAAAAATAAGCCTTAAGCTCAAGAAAAAAAAGGGGAAAAAACTATGGCATTTAAGTTTTAGGTGCAATTGTTTGTGCTAAGTTTGTCATTGTGAACATTTTGATCATTTAACACAATTTGGTATAATTTCTGAAAATTTAAGGAAAAAGTGTGTATATCCTGTTCGTCAGAACAACAACATCTAACCATGATGTACATGTAACAAGATGAGGAAGTGGCAAATTACAGAAAAAAGCGTGACAATCAATAGCCAAAGTAAAAATAACTTACGTATTGTCTTCTCAAAGCTCAAAGCTTTCCTTTCTAAGACTCTCTATTTTTCTGGAAAAAAAAAACTCAGAGTCAGACTTTTTTCTGTCGTTGCACTCATTAATTCCACTTCGACTGAACAGCGAATGGGCAGAGTTGCATTCTGAAAAGAATTAATGGAGTGAATTATTGCTACCTGCCACGTCTTACTGCGGTGACAGGCATTTATCTTTTTCAATAAAGTGCTTCATTTACAGAGTCATCCGCAGAGATGAGAGAGACGGTTTCAAATGGTGGGTAATAAGCACAAATGCAACCACGCCAAACCACCTCGCCATCATTAAAGCCGGAGAAGCCGCTCAGCAGAGCCTGATGGTTTTGCTCACTGGACATAAACCCAGGCAGTGTTTTAGAGGATAACAGCCCTTTTTTATGAGCAGTGAATCCAGGGAATTCTTCAGCAGCCTTTTGGTTTTACAAGACAGAAAAAAATCAGATTTTTGTTCACCATTCCTCATTAATATATGATGTACTTTTCAGCTCGATCACGGTATAGTTTATGTTTTGTCTAATTACTTAAGATCAGATATCTTAATTAATACACAAATTAATTTATTTTAATCTAGTAAAGACTTTCAGTTTATTCAGTTGGTGAACAATGGCTTATCTTAGATTAAATGAATATTTACTCTCCCACACTTCTGATGATAAAAGTACAGGCAGTGTTAGCAGGATATTAGCATTCTGATAGTGAACACATCAGTCAAACTGCTGGTGGTAGCTGGAAGATATTTCTGCATACAGATACCACACATTTGTTCTCATTTTCTTTCCCCCTCGTGTTTAGAGTCAAGCAGTCAGGGCAGCAAGAGCTCCACGAAAGCACCTGCAAGCCTTGTCCTGTGGCCGCCTCCTCCCCTGTCTGCGGTTCTGATGGGCACAACTACGCCTCAGAGGTAGAAAAACCCACATCTCGTACCTCCGGTTCTTCTCTTCGCTTTCGTAGCTAATGTTTTTAGACGTGAAAACCCCAGAGAAGAAATGAAGCTCTGTCCGTGTCATCGTTGTAAATCATGAGAGCGGACCAGTCAAGTGCAGTTTCCTGCTGTGCTGACACACAAAAGAGGGGGGGGGGGCATGTGGGGCAGATCAGTTTATCACTGCTCACGAGAGGACAAGTCAAAGCCTCCATGTAGGTTATGATTAATGACTGACTTGTTTTGAACGCAGCCTGGACGTTATTGATTTATGTATAGTTTTTAATTTTGACCTTGCATGGGAAGACAGTGGAAAATGACAGCTCATTCTTGCCGCCTCTCTTTAAGTGCAGCGTCTCGTCTGAATGAGCAATCTTTTCCCCCGCGGACACCTTCATAAATATTTTAACTGCATCCGTGCCTTTCTCGACCTTTCTTACAGTGTAAGCTGGAGCAGCAGGGTTGCCTCACAGGCAAAGACCTGAGGATCATGTGCACTGGATTTTGCCCCTGCGCAACAGATATTGCGAGAAATAGTGATATAAAACGCGGTAAGTGCTCTTCTTTGACTCTTTCTTAAGTGTCCCCCCTTTAACAAGTCAAGATTTCAGAGAAAAAAAATAGATACGCTGCGTTCAGTGTTGCATTTTGGAGGATGAGACCAATTTTCTTTTCCCAAATCAGTTCAATGCTTTAACATTTGGGATCAATACTAACCAATTTCAGAAATGACTGTTTACCAAACAGCCCCCTATATGGCTGACTGCTCTTTCAATCATGTGGTAATTAATTATTTAGAGTGTATACAATCTATTAATGCAGCCAAACACCATTGATTGTCCGCTCTCTTGAGCATGTGACAATGCCAATTGATCAAGCAGAGGAAATGTTTCTCTGGCAGTAAATGTTAAGCTAAGATCTGAAAAGGATTTTTATATAGGCTACCATCAAGTCACTGCCTCTGTGGTAATTCTTATGTAATCTTAATTTGTATGATGGGCAGATATTTCACCTTTCTGCAAAAAAAAGTTAAACCGTCAAGTAACTGCTAGTTTTCTTTGACCGGTGGAATTCCCTTGTTTGTTCCTCCAGAGAGCTGCACTGGCCAGGACCTGGCAGACCTGGGTGACCGTCTGAGGGACTGGTTCCAGCTCCTTCATGCAAATGCCAAGCAGAACAACTCTGGCAAGCCTGGAGCAGGCACTGCTTCAGGTCAGACACCTCAAAGAGGCACTGACAACTCAGTCGTGAGTGCACAGAGATGTAGAATGAACAGAAAATAAATCTACAACGCTGTGCGGTTGTTGCTGACAGTGCTGGACAAAAGCCTGGTGGCTAGCTGCAAGGACTCCATCGGCTGGATGTTCTCCAAACTGGACACCAACAGCGACCTGTATCTGGACCAGGCTGAGCTGGCTGCCATCAACCTGGACAAGTATGAGGTCTGCATCCGGCCCTTCTTCAATTCCTGTGACAGCTACAAGGACGGGAAGGTCTCCACGGCGGAGTGGTGCCTCTGCTTCTGGAGGGAAAGTGAGTGAAGGGAATTCCACTAATGGAAAAGATCACTTTGAATCAGATCCATAAATGAGTGAAATGGAAGAGAAGTTACATCATAGAGAAACGTGGGATGCTGCTGCATGCTCCACAACTAAATACAACATAAATATGATAATGTACCAGTAAAATGCAGATAGATTATGAAATACTGGTATAAGGCTTTTTCAGAGCTCTGCTTAAGGGGAGGGGGGCTTTTTCTATTTAAAGGGTCGAAATATGAATGAGAAACAATCGCATCTAACTCCTCGATTCTCTTTGATACAAGTTAAAAAATGCAATGCCTTGTGATTAGCTTCATAAACAGCAGATGTAAGAGGGAGTCTTCACCTGAACCTGGTGGTGTTCTATTTTTAGAAGGATGAAGAATTGTCTTCATTCTTGAGTGGTGAATGGAACATTAACCTACATGTTTCTGTTCACTGGTGTGGATAAATGTCTTCCATCAACAGAGTCACTGAACTAAATTCATTGAGCCTCCTTGATTGGAATTGAGGACAAAGTTTGCAAATCTATTTTAATCTTCTCATTCTCTGGGGAAGAAGGAAGGAATTGATTTGTGCTGCTGTCGAACGCTTTTTTTTGGATGCTTTTGTTACTTGAGTGCACAAAGTTCAGCCGCTAGAAGCTGCCATCAGGCGCATTGTGTCTTTGCTCAAACCTTATGGCCCTTTTTTGATGTGCTAAAATGTTTGCTCTGCAGGTGGTGAATAGGGAAATCGGATTTCTGATCAGGTTGTTTTCTCATTTTGACAAATAACTCAAATTCTGAGAATAGAGAAACATCCTGAACAGATACTTTGTTTGAAGACCTAGTCTTGAAATGCCTGATTTGCAAATAGAAATGAATTTGGAGCGTTTCAGCTAGGTATAAGTGGGAAATCTACTACATTTGACCTTTACCTAATAAATTCAGGATAATTCTGCAGGTGATCTCATTTGCAAACTGGCCAGTCATTGATTAGGCGTTTAACATGCATGCGATAAATCCAATCGACTACCTAATCGATTTTTGTGTGTGGAAACAACCTCATGCTAAACCATTAAATAATCTATTTCTTCATCACACTTTATGTAAGGAAAGAGATAAAGAGATGAGCCTATTTTAGGTGACTGTGTCACTCTCAAGTGACCTGTTTTTGTCTTGAAATATGTCTGTAAACATCCAAAAATTGCTTTGCAAGATTTGTTGCGTTCAGGTTCAACACAAAGTATCTTGTGTTGAACCTGAATCTATTTTTGAGCTATTGCTTTGTGACTTGGGCCTCAGTCCACATCCACATGTTCTTTAACCTGAGCACTCCTCGATCAATCATGCTCAAGGGAACAAAATAGAAGACTTCTTAAACAAATCAATACCGGCAAAAAGTGTAATTATGAACAGCATTGATTGAGATAAAGTTGAGAGGAGCAGTTTTAGATTTAGCCAGTCATCACTTTTCATGTGTGATTCTTGCAGAGCCACCTTGCCTCGCTGAACTGGAGAGGATCCAAGTGCAGGAGGCTGCCAAGAAGAAACCCGGTAGATACTTTTTTTCATGCATAATTATGTAAAATCAAGATGCATTAACTAAAACACTTGCATTTAAACACTGTTCAGTCAGAGACTCGTCACTCACTCATCACTCACTCTTAAAAGCCACAGTGCACAGTAGAGTCCCCACTAAACTACGTGCAGCTGGATTGTGAGGGCACAACCCAGCTGGTTTTGCGGCAGAATTTGTTTTACAAAATGTCTGGAGATGCAGACGAAAAGCTGAAGGAGGCTCATTACAGAGATCACAAGCACACAGCTAGGATTAGCCTGTAATCAGGTTGGGAGGATTAGGGGGCAGTGCTGTCTTTGGGATAAACCGAGGCTAATGTGGCCATTTGACTCAATGATAAACCCCATGCTGCAGTATTTACTCAGCATCCTCAGCATACTGCAGACCTGCTTTGCTGTCGTCAGCTCCAAACTCCAGATCTGTTCCGCCGTCCCTTTGGCCCATTCGTCCCGATTCTTATATTTGCTTTTGTGATTTCTGGCTCAGCATTCGTTTTAAAACTTTACTCTGGGTTTGACAGGAGCATCCATAGAGAGGCTCTGTCTACATTTTAACACAGCATGAGGTGATACCACGCCAGCCTAGTGCATGAGATGACGTCCAGCAACATACGCATACGTTTGGGCAAACAAACAGACGAAGCTCGTTCTGTCTATGCGGGATTTTCTGTCAAAAACTGCGATAACTGTGATATTCGTTTTGCAGGGATGTATATTCCAAGCTGCGATGAGGACGGCTACTACAGGAAAGTGCAGTGTGACCCGAGCCAGGGCGAGTGCTGGTGCGTCGATCAGCATGGAGGAGAGATGATGGGCTCCAGAATCCATGGCAACCCAGACTGCGGTGAGCAGCTCACATGACACGGTTTGAAGACTAATCTTAGTGATGAACGTGTGTGTTAGCTGCATGGTGCAATGGCCTGTTTTAAAATTCCTGTTTAGCATTTCAGGTAAAAAAATAAAATAAAAAAAAGGAGTTCTCTGGTAGTCATAACAGTTAGTGCTTTTTGTTGTTGTTAAAGTCATCATTTTGATTGCTGATTATGTCAGTGAAATACTAAAAACTATAATTCCTATAAACATACTTTCTGTAGCAGATCCATTAACATGTCTGCATCATAACAACAGTGAGTTTTTTTTTTTTTAAGTTAAAAAGTAAAGCCAAGAGCATCAGAATTTGGCAATTGAACATCATTTGGATGTTTGATCATTCATTTTAAGTGGTGAGTGAAGTGATGAATAATTAGTGCTGTATTAAATATTCTGTTTTATACAACACTGATGCAATTTCACAAAAAAGTGACCCAATCTCCCTCTGTATTCCAAAAATGTAATGGTTCATAAACTTTGCAGCTTAGATTTAAAAAAAAAAAAAGACCTGAATGGCCAGAATGTTTCCTGTATTTAAACAAATTTGTTTGATGCCAAATGTTTCAGATGAAGTCGCGGGGTATTCTGGAGATTTCGGGAGCGGAGTGGGCTGGGAAGACGAAGAGGAGAAGGAGGCAGAGGACAATGGAGAGGAAGCAGAGGAGGAGGAAGAGGAGGAGAGCGAGGCAGATGATGGAGGATACATCTGGTAGAACGTCGGAACCCGCACGGAGAGCACAATAGCTGGCCTGAAAATCAACAGTTATGCCTCTCCGCTTAAAGGAAAAGCTTTTGGGATCCGACAGAGAGCTGCCCGGGTGGAGTGTGTGGTGCCGGGCAGGTCCAGTGACGAGATTATCAGCTGTTTTTCTTTTCTTTGTCTTAAATACATGTAATTGCTTCATTCTACTCTGTTCTTTTCAGCAACAGAGTTTTATGTATTTCTGTCCTGAAAAAGGGGAAGCCACTGATTCTTGTGCCATAGGTAGCTACAGTCCATTGAAACGCCTATCTTGTCTTTCCGCCATCTATGCATATAGAGATTAAAAGTACTTTTGTATTGTGAGAACAGTCGCTTGAGTGTTAGAGCTGCCGTCCCACGGGAAAGACTAGAGATCAGACGTAAAAACAAACAGTTTGACACTTTGGGAGATAAGCTTATTTGTTTTCTTGGATCGGGTTAGATAGCTGATAACAGTCTTGGATACAAAGGTTGGAGATTGAAAGCTTAACTAAAGATTTTAGAAGGGCAAACATTTGCTTTTTGCTTTGTGCCAAGAGGTCAAACATTGCCCCTTTATTTTGAAGCTTTGGGGAGAAAACCTGCTACTCTTAAGATTTATTATCCGCCAGACTATGCAGAAAGGACTTGCACCAGGCCCGGTAAACAAAAACTCTTTGAATATTGTACATGAGAGGATTTTTTTTTTTACATCTGAATAGAATATGTTCTGGTAACACCTAGTGCTATAGGAAACTCTTTCAAAGCAACCCAGGTGTTTTATTTTTCTTCTTTCTGTTGTCACTAATTAATGCAGATAGGCGAGCTGACACCCCCTCCTCTCAGTGTTTAAATGTCAGAAAACGGTGCGACATCTACACACATACATCTGAATATGGTGTTCTAAATTACGGCGTTACATAACAGTTTTTTTTTTTTATCTGGCTCTGATGAGCAAGTTCACTGCTTTATTTGACTCTGGCCACTCTCATAAACCCATATGAAGTATAACAAGAGGACCATCTCCCCAATGCCAAACACAAAGCAGCTTAAAGCAGTCAAAGAGCCAGATAATTCCTTTAGCTGTCAGAAGAGACCATATCAAAACTAGTAGAGTTAATTAAAGTGGATTTTCATTCAGGAGAACGTTAAGCTAAAACATAAATAAGCATATTTGCTCAACTGTCAAACTGTTCTTTTAAAGCAGTTCAGTGGTTATGTTTTTTTTCTTCTTCAAATGAATTCTGTATATAGATCCAGCCTAAAAGAACTTGTAATGCAAGCATAGAGCTTTTAAAGGTTAGTCTGGTTTCAGGCTACCTTTATGATTGACCACAGCTCATAGTAGTTTAAAGGTTGTACATGTAATCTTGATAAAGTGGACACACACAGCTTCACGGGTCCTAGATTTTTAAATGAAAGGACCCAAACTCCACCCCAGCTAGAAGCTGCTGTGTGTCCCCTGCTAACTCTAATATCAGAGAATGTGCCACAACTTCTTTGTTCTTTCTCAGATTACAACTTGAAATACTGTATTTTGTGTTTTTTTATTAATTGTGCAAATTCATCTCAGCTCTGTGTGTTTACTTGAATTCTCAATTTCCTTTCTTTTTTTCTATTGAAATATTGCTGCCGTGTCTTCATTCATGCTATTGATAGGCGAGCCGTTTGTTTGGTTTTAGTATTGCATGTTAGTAAGTAAGAATGTACTCAAGCTGAGCACTTTACTAATAAAGGCACTGGAGCCAAACTCTGTGTGAACCTTATTTCTAAATATTTGGGGGGTAAAAATGTCATCAGTAAAGGCTTTGTTGAGGTTACCCTGGCACATTCTTGAGTGTCAATGTCCTGATAGTGAATTGAGTGTGAAGTAACACCAAATCATAACAACATGCTTTTCTTTTCAATCAAAAATATAAGCTTGTTGTGGGAGTATTAACAGTTAGATGTATTTTTTGGTGACTTTTGGTCGTTCTCTTTCAGAGACAGAATATGACTGGCTGGGGTTTATCAAACGATGTAACCATAAATTCAAATAGAAGCTTTATTGTCACTTGTCTGTGTAGTCTTCAGGAATAGTTCTCCAGGCTTCTTGAACGACATCCCAAAGCTTTTCTTTGAATGTCGGGTGCCTTTGGTTCTGTGTCTGTCAAGATGACCCCACACTGCTTCAATGCTGGTGAGGTCTGGGCTCTGAGGAGGAGTCATCACTCCATAAGATCTCGTGTCACTTATTTTCAGTCCAGTTCCTCTGTGATTTGATATATCTCACCCTTTCTCTTCGTTTATTTTTCTTTAACAATGGGTACTTGACAGCCATCCACCAAGGAGACCTTTTCTGATGAGGCTTCTGTGAACTGTGGATGAATCTACTAAAGTCAACACTGGCTCATCCAGAGTTAGGTGCCTTTTTAAAACTCGAATGATTACATGGTCAGAAATATTATTCTCTTCTGAAAATAGTCTGGTACAATTTGTAGAGAGCAGCCTAAAAGAAGAGCCTCAATATCTTCCAAGAAAATCTGGCTACTTGGAAACCATTAACAAAAGCAATACATAAGTAATAAATTGTGAAACAAACTGGTAATAATAGTTTTACTTTTAACTATATTAAAGTACTCCTACATCTATATGTTTTACATCATGTTTGTGTCCTAGTCCGCAGTTTTTCTCTCCTTCATCTTTAAACCAAGTTGATTTAATCAGGCCACTCTGACTGCAAAAAATATAGTATTCATAGAATTGAAAACTGAGTTTTAAATGTGAATTGTCTGAAACCCATTGAGAGAATAAAGCGCATGAAGCTTCACAAAGTCATCCCACCCATAAAGGACATGTTTGCAGACACAGGTTTAGTCTGGGTGAGTCACAGGATGTCCCTATCCTGGAGCTGGGTGCATGGGCTCTGGATCCAGATCGCCTGATCAGCATCATTCCTAATAAATCACTTTTACATCATTATAAAGCTTTAAGGTCCCCAGTCCGGAAGACATTTTCTGTTAAGTCTGCTCAAGTGTGAAAAATTCTGCAACGGTAAACGGACACAAAAAAAACAGATTCCATGTCAGATTTATAAAAATCTTTATTTACCTTCAATTATCTTTCAAATGAACTAAACTCACTCTTACTCTTAACACAGTCCACTTTAATTAAAACTATAGGAACATATCTTTGCAGAAAATATTAATTTAATTCAGTATACCAACAGAAATAAATAACAATATTCTATAGTGCCAGCTCAAAGATAGTTATCGTACAAGAATTTACATCTGTATCATACATAGTTTACAGGAGTTGTAGGAAGTGGTACAGAACACTGTTCATAGCGAAACATAATTAGTTTACATGCATACTGCAGCACACGTTAAGAAACACTTCCCTGTAAAAAATCTTTCCTATGTCAACAAATAAATTATTCTCTATTCTACCCTGTTCACACAACATGCAGGAAACGGTATATAAGGAATAAGGATCCCAAATGTTCCTTTCTTATCTATTCTGAGCTCATGAGGTCACAATTTGAACAGTTCATTGTAAACATCTAGTAACCCCCATAACCCCTAGAGAGGAAAGAAGAAGGATAAATGGACAACATTTAGACAGCTTAGCGTTGTGTCGGGAAGTGCACTCTCCTATCTTTTCAGATAATCAAAAAGTACATTAGCAGCACTTAAACTTCTGTTAGTCCTGGACAGAGAAAATCCTGATTACATAGAAAAATATTCTTAGTCTTTCACCGCAGACTCTTAGTCAAATTTTATTATATTCACTTCAAATTTGACTTTTTAATCAATATTTAACTCAATCAAGAGCTTCACCAGGAGCGAAGTGGTCAGGCGAGACGCTGTGTTATATGCAGCAGTGCTTTATGCTAATATGTTCTTAGAGCAACATGTATTCTTCATGACTCACATATGCAGTGGATTTAAGTTTGCTCTACAATACAGCCAGCTATTCTACTTTATTGCTCTTTGACGTGTTAAGGGTGTGTCATAATTATTGCCTTCATAATACAATGAAACCAGAGAAGTCAAAGAAAAATGTTCAATATGAATGTTATTTCTTTGAATTCCTCACTGAACACCTAATTTTGCGACGGTTTAGACATACTCACTTCAAATTGGCTGCCATGAACACAATCATTAAAAACATTTAGACTGTGCTGTTATCATTAGGCCAATAAATTCAAAAAGCTTTGACAACAGAATTATCATCAGCAAGCTATGTCATTTCACTCCACCATAAGGTTCCAGGTTTGCTTTCTCTTTTTATGGTTTGTGAAGGGAAGTTGGCTCAGGATTTGGCTTGAAAGATGTCCTCTATCTCCCTCCTGATCCCCGATTCTTAAGCACGGATCTTTGGCTTTATGGTTTGAAGGCAGAAGCTGCATACCATTAGATTGTATCAATTAAAATAAATGTCTCTTTCCAGATAAAATTGCTTGAATCTGTATACAGAGATTTTTTTAAAACTAAACTCAGCTGTTCTAATTTAAAGTCAGACAAGTATTAAGTCACACACCACAATGTCCCCTGACTCACTTTCTAATGAAGTCCAAACAGTAATAAATAATGCACCACTGAAGCACATATATCTGCATTCTTGCTAAATGTCTGGCTGCTCGTGTGCTGTAATTAGGTAATCACCATGCCATGCTACTGGCTCATATTAATAAAACATTAAGGGTATATCATCAGTAACAATTTTGAAAGTTTGCATAGAGGAATTTAACAAAAAGGAAATGCCCTTAGGAACATTAGTTAAATTTAGGGCTGGTTGACCGTATTTGTCATATCTCATGATAACATGTCATTTAAAAGCCTTTTGGCAAAGTCTGACTTTTGCATGTCAGTCAATGTATTGCGATAACCATCTGAAACCTTCCCCATAGCCTTGTTTCTTCAACACGCTGCACATGAAAATCTCCAGTGGGCGAGCATTCAGCTCCTTCAGAGAAACATTTCCCTGTCGGAAACAATGAGAGAGAATCAAAGCGATGCCCTCAGGAAACATGTGCCTCTGTATGTTTCATTCAAAGAGACAGTGTTCGTGGAATGCTTACCTTTCCAGTAACTTGACCGTCAAGAGCAAAAGCACCTCTCAGGCCTCCTTCACTGATGGCTTCTGGACGGTCGATTTTATTACCCAGCACTAGCACTGGAACATTGACAATGGTCTCATCAGCAAGGAGAGCCTAGGAGAAGTATAGGATTTTCTTTATTCAAATTTTTAATCAAACAGCAGTTAGTTTTGCAGTGGAACTATTTGGAGCAGCGACGTTTACACTTACATCGAGTTCAGTCTTTGATTCTGTGAGTCTGTCGTGATCAGCACAGTCGACAAGAAAGACCACACCATTCACAGCGGGCAGGTAGTTCCTCCAAACTCTTCGAGCTGAGAAAAAAGGAGAAGTTGTCTGTAAATGACCTCTCCTTGCAAACATTCCTTGGGAAACTGTCAGTTTATATTGTATTGAGTCATTTCAATGCGTTAACCACATTTTACATCATGCAGACCAATCACCATTGTTTTCATGACCTGTCTGCAGTGTATTTGGCTCATTAGACCTCCAGTAAGATTTACTAGCTAGTTGAAGCTATCCTGACAACCAAGCTTACAAAATGCTATGTTCTCGTAAAAATGAGAAATTCTTCTTACTCTAAATGTTCAATCCAGCATTTGTTTTGTATGTATATCTTTATCATCAGAGATACAATCTTTACAGAGCAGCACTTTCTGTCTTTCAATGTTCTGTTCAAATATCAAATTATTACCAGTTCAGAGGTCAGGTGTCATGATTAGTCTATTGGCTATTTGAGGTGAAAACCTAACTATTAATGTTTGTAAATGTCACTCTCAGCGTGTCAGATCAGTGCGGCTGCAGTCTCATTACCAGACAAACACACTGACACTGACAGACTTTCCCCTGCCATTGCTTCATCGAAGTTATTATATGAAGAGATGATTGGTTCTTTATCCAATATCTGAGTTTAATTCAATGATGATTATGTCCACAAAATTCTCTAAAGAGTTCTGCAAGATTTAGATTTATTAAATCTCTCATGGTGGGGAAGTCTTACCTTGTACATGTCCTCCCAAATCAAATGTGGTAAATGTCATGCCACCAATTGTCAGCTCCTCTGAGGCTTTGCGAGAAAGGAAATAGAACCTCTATTAATACATGTATTTTCTTGACTTAGCATGGAAAAAGAAAATCAGTGGCAATTCAGCGCTAAACTATGACTTGAAAATTCTGAGTGATATTTTTACACAGTACACTCATCTCCAAATATCTCTTTACTTGGATGCAGGGTTGGTACATGCTGGCCAAGTCGGTCATCTTTCAGCATGTGTAGGAGTGTTGTTTTACCAGCGTTGTCCAGACCCAGGAAAACCAGCTTCCCAGACTTTTTGTAAAGACCTGGAGCAAGTCCAAATGTGAAGGTTAGTCATGAACTTTATTCACATACTACCACATTTATAGAATTTGAATGCTTCACATTCACAACTTTTGTATCTTATGGGATTTTTGGGCCCTGGAAATGATGAGACAACATGACGCAAAGATCTTGAAAAACTATTTTTTCCGGTTATAGCTGAAACAAAGTACAAGAGACGATACTCACCTAAGAATTGCAAAACACTACTAAAGCCCCGGTAGATCCAATCAAATAAAAATGACATCTTGACGGCGTCTGTCTGTAATAGAGGCAGGTTATTACTAAACACTTTTATGGATGTCTCTGAATCATATGATTCTGAAAATTAATGGTTAAAAACAACTTCAAAGAAATCTCTAAAATTTCAGCTTCATGGTAAATTACTGTCCATTCCAAATATTATATAATAAATATTTGTTTAGATCTCTTAAAGATTCTATGCCATATACAATAATCAGGTTTGAAAAACATAAGCAATAACTTTAAGTGCTTTGTTTAGATTTATATGAACAAATTTAACATTAAATTAACAACTTTTGAATAATAAAAAGGAGTATTCACAATGAGAACCTTTATAGTTCCGGTTAGTATAAATGTCTGCTGATAACAGCACACAAAATGCATATTTATTTCTCTTAATTTCCATATATGAAGCAGCACTATGCATTACTATACAACTTTCTTTCTCCTGACCCATTTTCTGGAATTTTCTCCACAGGAATTTCTGCATTTATCAGTCATCACATAACTTGTGACAGCTTATTTTTCTTTCTTTTTTTTTGGAGTGTATTAGCATTATGAACATATTCTTAAAATCAAAGGACTAAAAGTTTTGTCCTTTTTTTAATGTAGCATTTCCTCTCTTTTCTTGGGTGTATGTTACACTTAATAATAAAGTATAAGAAATATAAGAAGCTTTAATCAGCTATTCTATTAAGTATATTTAAACGCCAATGTCCTGTAAATGTGGGTCTTAGAAAGTGTCTTAATAGTAATAGCAATAGTAATCAGCAATCGGCTGATAGTAATCAGCTGATTGCTTAGCTATTTCAGCCCGTTGACTTGAATGGTACGAGTAATTTGAACCCTCGGTCACATTAAAATATCGGAGCACTTGTTCCTACAATACAAAGTTCAAAATAATTGTCATTCAAATGTCTACTCGCTTACAGTATGATATCACCCAGGAGTCGTCGTCTCCTGGTAAGTACCTGTGACATAACGGTATACCTCCCTAACCAACACGTGTAGCTCGTAGCTAACGGCAATATTATCTCTACCTGGATAAAACACTTGCATAAATAAATTAACAACAAGTTGTGTGAATGTTATGAGCTCTTCAGAGCAAAATAAACGACATGAAGTAGCAATGCTACGCCGTTTGGCTAGTTAGCATTAGCTTCTGAACTAGCGTTAAATCTCTAGCCCTTCCTACAACCTGTCTCGTGGGTCATGACAACGAGTAACAAAAACGCCGACGAGAAGGGTATTATATATTAAGATATACCAGTAGTATCATTTTTAGTTACACTGATTCGCTATGTGAAAAATACTCTTTGATTTTAGCTCTCTTACCTACAACACCGACCAATCTCCAATTCTCGGTAGTGTCAGTGGTCTCCTTGGAAACAGTCAATCAGAGGGCCCATTGCTCTTCTTCGTGGCACATATTAGGTTGTATTGTGTATTATAGCGCCCTCAAATGATAATTGAACGAGTAAATGGAACCCACCAGCTTGTAGCCTTGATGCTTGTGGAGAAGCAAGCAGTTCTTCTCAGGATGAGGAAATACTGTTCTTGAATGAAGTATTCTAAACTACACAAGCACATTTCTATTCTGTTTTTAATTCTGTTTAATTCCATTACAAGTCTGAGCATGACCGTGAACTTTAAAACACCAAATTTATGACAAACAGGGTAACTACTAAGAATTAATAGTATTTTACGATTACCCATTTTGACCAACTGAAGTAAAGTGATCCTATATTATCATAATTAATCATCGATATTTCCTGCACTGTTCAAGCAGGGACCTTTGTTCTACATTTCCCAACTACATTTTCCAAGTCACTGCATATAGTTCTACATTATCTAGCTACAGGATTGATGATGTACATGTGGATTAGTTTTTTCTTTATTACACTTCCATGTGTGGAGTATGTCTGTTCTCCCTGTGTCTGCGTGGGTTTTCTCCGGGTACTGTCCGAAAACATGCGTGATAGGTTAATATATTCCAAATTGCCCCGAGGAGTGAATGTGAGTATGTGTGGTTGTTTGTATCTGTATGGCCCTGTGGTGGACTGGCAACATGTCCGGGGTGTACGCTGGACATTGTCAGCTGGGATAGGCTCCTGCCCCCTCACAACCACGTCGGAATAAGCGCTATAGAAAATGCATGGATACAAAACAATTTCTTGGAATTTAGTGCTTAACTAATGCCTGCAGACACAGTTGAGGTTTCTCTTTTAGAGCCAAAGACTTTCATATACTGAGTCATTACAATCATAAAACTGTATATATAATTTGCTGGGCTTTCCAAGAGGCATGTGCGTAATTTGTTAAATGCTCAATGAGTTATTGCATGAAGGGCTGCATAGGAATAACTCTACATATGTATAAAATAAGAGCTCCAGCACTATATTCTGTAGATAAGTGGTTGCAAAATAAATACAAAATGCAATGTTGTTCAATTTAACATGATTTATTGCACTACATTATTTAGTGTACTTGATATCTGCGTATTGTCAAGAAAGATCATGTATAAATCATTCGATTGCTTTCACACACTCTGAAAGTTACAATGTGCTTCACAATTCCAGTGGGTTTTTTGTACTGCTAGTCTGCAAATCTCATGAGCTGGATTGAAGACAGAAATCTTCTTGGGGGGTTTTCAGTCTTACAGTCTCACTTCTCATAGTAGTACCATTTGTCAACTGAAAAACAATGATTAAAGAAAAAAAAGAAAATTCCAGACACGTAGTAGATAGGATTTCCAGTGAGTGACAAAATACATGTGAGAAAACACCCACCTGAGCTTGGAAAAGGGTCTTCGGGTCCGAAAGCACTTGCCTGTAAAATCATTAAACAGTCCTTGATGATTAAAAAAGTACTTTTTCAGGTTAATTATGTTTTATGGGGGTTTTTTTCTGCATGAAAAGCATAAAAGGAATGTGGCCACCTCTGGAATTACTCTCACTGACTACTTATCTAAGAAGGCTCTTCTTTTTGTCTTTGGGCTTTTGTGCTATCAGTCTTTCATTTGTACTTAGATTACACAATGAATGATAGCAGGCCTTCAGGCTTTCACATGAATTTGAAAGTTAAATTAACTTACAGATTTAACCACAGCCTCTGCATCCCCAGCAGAGCAGCAGAACGGACTGTCAGAGACACCGCTGTTCATGCTGATGGAACAGAAGGACAAAGACAATCCATTTTAAAACATTCTACACAAACAACCAATGTCTTTATTTTAAAATGGCATCTTGAGGTGCCTTTCTCTGAAAGGCCTTTTGAGGTCCTTTAACAGAGCAGCACTGTGTGTGGTATACAATCTTTTCATCATGTGCAAATAGTCAAGCTGTTGTTTATTTTTTAGTTCTGAAGATCGACTTGGAGATGGTCAGATCAGGAAACAAAACCTTCTGCAGTCATTGTGTACCATATTACCTACCATTTGTACTTAGGGCCATGAGTTAAATATGATAGCAAACTACTTACCAGTTAATCTCGCCAGCATTGCTCTTCTTTGATATCAGTGCCTTCCAAAATTCATGTGTGGTTTTCACTGTTTTTATGGCAAAGTCCTGGAAAACACACCAAATGCTTCTTGTATTTTTTCCCCCAAGAAAGTTGCAGTAAATAGAAAACCAAATTTTCATAGTAAATTTTTCCAATACAAAAGCCTTTATTATGTTGGTATTAACTATTTTATTCTTTACTTTTATGGGAGAAATATGTCAAGTTGTCAATAAAGTTTAATGCTAGTAGTGTAAAGATAGTAAAGAAAAGAGAAGACATCAATATTTTTAATCGTACCTTATCTTTGAACTCTCCATTAAAAGCAAACTGGTTTTCAGGTTTCCCTTCTGGGACTTTGTATCTTCTAAACCAATCAACAGTTGCCTCCAGATATCCTGGCTTCAGCCGCCTAACATCGTCGATATCTGCAAGAAATCAACAACGTGTAAAAATCAATCATGTCATGTCATCTCGCCAAAGCAAACATCTATCACAGCTTTCGCCTACCATTAAAGTTGCCAGCTTCTGGGTCTTCAGTATTGATCACTATGACCTTCCAGTCCGTTTCACCCTCATCGATCAAAGCCAGAGTTCCCAAAACCTTCACTTTGATTATATCTCCCCGAGAGCACACCTGGAAATAGCACAAGCGTCTCTGTAAAGGTTGCAAACTGTTGGATCTGAAGCAGACTCCTCAGTTCGTTTCAGTACCTTGCTTCCTATATCACAGATATCAATAGGGTCGTTGTCTCCGCAGCATCCTGTGTCACTGTCTTTATGGTTAGGGTCTTCCCATGTCTGCCAAAATAGGAGAGCCAATTGTGGATCATGCAAGTTTCTTCATGCTGCAAAAACATTCAACGTGAAATCTACTCGCCTGTGGAATAGCCCCATAATTCCAGATGTAGCCTTTGTGGGGAAACACGTTGGCTACATATCGAAGGTTCCCCTTCTTCAAATCTTGTTTTAATGGATTCAGAGGATCCTTAGTGGCTATCTGAGCATTTTCAGACAAAATCCAAACATAGAGAAATATAACTGGTCACTGAATAACAAAAAATCAAAAATATAACACATTCAGATTATTGAATGCTGGAGCAACCTCCATCTTTGCATTTGTCCATCTTGGAACTTCCACAACGGCATGAAAAATGTTCTGTAAAATGAAGAGAAATGTATTTTTTGTAAACCTCTAGATACATCTTGTTCTTTCCAGACAATATGTTTGAGATAACACTGGAACCACATACCATTTCATGCACTGAGAGGCAAACTTTACTCTTGTGCGTTTCTATACCTAAAACGTGTTTATTTGCGCGCTACAGAAATCCATAATTGGAAAAGTTTAAGAGATAGATGCCATCCTACAAACCCTTTCACATGTATCTATCTCTGTGTATACTATGTATATATTTTTTATTATGAAAGCCTTAAGTGGTTGATTTGCGGCCTTGGCATCAGCCCCAAAAAGAGGATTCTTAAGGTATCACAGATTATTGCACGATGTATTAACAAGGAACAAATGCACCACCGAAGAAAGAACTGGCTTTCATGTTGGAGCACATTCTCTCAATGCTAAAGCAGCTAACAGATACAGAAAATATGTTTATGTTTATGTTTATGTTTATGCATTTGGCAGACGCTTTTATCCAAAGCGACTTACAGAGTAGACACAATATTACATTTCTCATCACAATGACAATAAACTATATAGAACAGAAACACTGATCAGAGTCAGTGGTGAGATAGAGATAGAGGTAGAGGGGCTACAGAAGGAGCTGTGGGGGGGTAGAGGTACGGGTTAGGGTTAGGATAGGAGATGCTCTTTGAAGAGGTGGGTCTTCAAGAGTTTCTTGAAAACAGACAGGGACTCTGCTGTTCTTGTGGAGCTTGGTAGCTCGTTCCACCATCTTGGAACGACACATGCGAACAGTCTGGATTGTCTTAAGCGTGGTGAAGGCACTGCTAGACGACAATCCATTGATGACCGGAGTGATCGAGTTGTGACATAAGCCTTTGCAAGGGGATTCAAGTAGATGGGAGCCATACCCTTAAGCACTTTGTAGGCTAGCATCAGGGACTTGAATTTGATACGGGCAGCCAGAGGTAACCAGTGGAGTTCAATGAACAGAGGGGTGACGTGAGATTTTTTGGGCAGATTGAAGACCAGACGCGCCGCCGCGTTCTGGATCATTTGTAAAGGTTTTACTGTACAGGCCGGGAGACCAGTCAGGAGTGCGTTGCAATAGTCTAGGCGGGAGATGACCATAGACTGCACCAGGAGCTGGGTAGCATGTTGTGTTAGGTACGGCCGGATCTTTCTTATGTTTAGTAATGCGAAGCGACAGGATCGAGAAACAGAGGCAACGTGATCTTTAAAGGTCAGCTGGTCATCAATCATGACACCCAAGTTTCTTGCTGCCTTTGATGGAGTCAGAGAGAGGGATTCAGTTTGGATGTGAATATTGTGGTGAATAGTTGGTTTGGCTGGAAAGACAAGCAGTTCAGTTTTTGAGAGATTCAGCTGGAGGTGGTGGGCTTTCATCTATTTTGATATGTCAGAGAGACAGTCTGAGATGCGTGCTGAGACCGAGTGGTCATCAGGTGGGAATGACAGATAGAGCTGTGTATCATCAGCATAGCAGTGGTAGGAGAAACCATGTGATTGAATGATCTGGGCCAAGGAAGTGGTATATATAGCAAAGAGAAGAGGTCCAAGTACTGAACCTTGAGGAACCCCTGTGGCGAGGTGGTGCACTGCAGAAGTGTGACCAAGCCAGGATACTTTAAATGATCGACCAGTGAGGTACGACTCAAACCAGGAGTGTGCTCTCCCTGTGATGCCCATACTCGAGAGTATAGACAGAAGGATGTCATGATTGACTGTGTCAAATGCGGCTGATAAGTCAAGGAGGATAAGTACTGAGGACTTGGCATTTGCCCTTGCCTCTTTTAGGGCTTCTGTCACAGACAACAGAGCCGTTTCAGTGGAGTGGCCACTTTTAAACCCAGATTGATTTGTATCAAGGAGATTGTTTTGTGAGAGGTAGTCTGTGACCTGCTTAAAGACTGCCCTTTCAATGGTCTTTGACAGAAATGGAAGCAGAGAAACCGGCCGATAGTTTTCCACATGAGTTGGTGGGAGAGAGGGTTTTTTGAGCAGCGGTGTGACCAAAGCTTGCTTGTATGAGTTAGGAAATGTGCCAGTTGTCAGCGAAGCGAAGCAAAATAGAACTCATTCATCATAAGGAGCCTTAATCCAAGACTGTTGCTAGATGCCTCGTGGTGTTACAACAGCTGATCAAGACATTTGAGACGTAGACCATTCTTTTTACATGAAAATAAAACTAATCTGGCAATATTTTTGGTCAAAGTCAGTAACGGACTACAGGCACAAATGACACTCACCTCCGCTTCATTTGCATATATGGGTACATCATGAAAGGGAGAGATATATTTTCCCTCTGAGTTTTCTATAAAAAAGAGTAACACAACTTATTAATGAAAAAAATAACAGCAGGAATTATCTTCCCAAGGCTCTCCATCTAACCCGTCAGTGCAGTGCTACACACAGTTAATTACACCAGCCATTACACAATCTGTGAATTATATTTGGCACCAGCAAGTAAATAAGTTTTCAGATAAAAGCTGTGCTTACTGAAATACACCCTGTACTCCTGGGTGTTGGGCCTGCCTCTCTCCTCGATGGTAAAGCTCATGTTGGTTCGACTCTCCACTGTGATCTGTGTCCAGACACAGCAGGGCTAAGAAGCTCCAGACTGACCAACAGGTACTCGGAGGCAGAGGAGCGGGCATGCGCCCTGCCTAAGCTGGGGGTTACGGAGCCTAAACCGCTGTTGCTTGAGGACAAAGCCTCTGTACGGAAAGTGTGAAGGCTGCTTGGCAGCTGGCCTCTGCATGCTCCTACACGGTTACTGAATCCAAATCACATCTGATATTGGCATCTGTGGCTCACATACCCTCCGTGAGCGGCAGAGCTGTGAATAGTAATCGGCTGCTAATCCTTCTTTATTGATACTTCTCCAAGGCTCCCAAATGAATTCGGGAACATTTATGTGCAGCTTCTACTATCTTTGCAAGAGATTTGTTTTGCATTGCTCCCTTGTAAGCGTGACTCTTGAGAGCTCTTTTCAGCCAGAAACAGATGGAGCTTGCGGGTGTTAGCTGTAAACCAATTAACAAGGCGGGATTATATTGTCTCTTTAAGTTTCACCGAAACACTTTGATAAAAGACGTATGAGCCTTTTTTCTGCAGCATTATATTGATATAGATACATATATATCTATTTTGAATAGGATGCATATAAAAGGCTTCAAAGAACTCAGTTAAAGTCTTTCACCTTCAAGATTTATTTGAAAAATATTGTTTGTACCTAAGAACTTTTTAGGTACATTATCTCTCGAAATAATATTAATTTGCTAAAAGTTGGTTATATGTACAACATATATGGGTTTAATTGCTTGTACTAATGTGCTACACAACAAAATGCGTTGATGTGCTATTTTTATACAAAACATTTTTAAAATCAATTACTAATGCATTATAAAAGGGAGAGTGTAGTTAGAAGAGGCATGTAAACATATTTCCGTCCTGTGGTTTGCCTCCAGGAATATCCATCCATCCATTATCATAACCGCTTATTCCCTAATGGGGTCATGGGGGGAACTGGAGACTATCCCAGTGGTCAATGGGCGAGAGGCGGGGTACACCCTGGACAGTCCACCAGTCTATTGCGGGGCCCTTCGAAAATATCTTACATTTAAAAAAAGAACTTATCATTGGAATATACAATAGGAATATACCAAGGCACATTGCACAAACCAACACAGTATGAATTGAAACAGGTGTGAAACTCACAGTTAGCCTTTGGCTGGCATACACAGCATTTCACACATTCCACAAAGCCAACCTTATGTGAGCTTGTCTTTCTAACTGTATCATGAGTGCCACCATTTCTTGACATCGACCGTTTGAAATACTTTTTGATCCGTTCAAACTTATTTGGAATGTATTGCATTAAGTTGCTGAGACAAAACATGACATAGCTGCCGTAATAATTAGTATAGAAACTAGATTGCTATCAGATTCACAGTATTGTTTTCAAATTTAATCCGTTATGGTTATTAGCAATTATTTGACCATGTCAGTCATTTGTCAATATGTTGAATAGAAAAAAAGAATAGCAAGAATAATCCAAATTCAAGTTTCATGGAAAATGGAAAACAACTATAACAAGGAAGAGCTGAAAAAAAACAACCCAGCACTGCATTGCTTTCAGTGTACCATTTTTATTTTCTTATACTATCAAAATGAATAAATAATGTATTTTTTAAAAAGTCTGAGACCCCAAAAGTCCAATATTCTTTACAGCATGACAGTTTTCCATTCCAAAAAAACAAAGTAATGGCAAGGCGCAGTTGCCAAAGAGAATACAACTCATCTTTTTAAAACCTGATTTCTATTTGTTGGAAAGCATCATGTCATGTTGTAGTAGTTCTGTTTCATCTCTCAGGCACTCAAAAGCATTTACCTTAAGGAGTTAAAGGCATCCAGTTAAAAGCAGTCCATGTTTTATGACTGACTTTATGAATCTGACGTTGATAAAATGTCAAATTTATGAGGGCGTTTCAGAGCAGACTGAGTGTTAGAGTCCAAAGGGTTTGACTTCACATTAAGCCACTTCAGCGCTGGCATGGAAGCCAACTTCTCCAGAGGTATTTCTGATGAGCAAAATTAGAAAAAAAGAAAAGGTTAAAACTAGTGATTCCTATTGCTAAACTGATTTCTTATTTGTTCATAACAGCAGAACACATTAACATGATGTTACCAGTGATGCTATTTCCCTCGAGGTCAATCCTCTCCAGTGTGGCTATTTCAGTAAGTTTATCAGGGAAGATGGTGAAGCTGTTATTAGCCAGGTTGATGCTTGTTAAATGCTCCATGTCTCCTATGCTGTCGGGCAGTTTGGTGAGGACATTGCCTTGCAGGTCAAGTTCTGCAAGGTATTTGAAGAGATGAGTAAATCAATGAATGACCCTGTCTGTTCCTGTCACGGGATGAAGACGTTCTGTCAACATTCCTGACATGAACAGTACATGAGGTGGACACAGGGTCTCATCTTTGGTGCTGAAGCTGTACATCAGGCAGCAGTGTGGTATAACCTTTACCTCGGAGATTCGTAAATGTTGAAAAGAACTTGCTAGATATGGCCTTCATCTCATTGTCAGACAATGTGATAACACAGATGTTTTCTGAGACAGTCCTTAGGACCTTGAACACACCATCCGGGAAAGAAATGAGCTGGCAGTTTGACAAGTCTGAAGAGAAGAAGAATATGCATATGAGATTACCAAGATTTGACCCCATCATAGAAACACAGAATAAAGCCTGTTGGTCAATGTCGCCATCTGCTGGTAAAATCTCAGAAAAACTCTGCAACAAATCAGAGTTATTTACTCACTGGGGCTAGAAAGAGCCTACAAGAGGGGAAAAAACAGGTTTATGGCAACTTACCCAGAGTGTCTTTGCCCTCTTCTACTGTTGCGTTAATCCTCCGGGCCACCTTTGCAACTGCCTCAGCCATCTTTCAATCGTAAATCTTCCTACGTGAGGTAAATATACATTACACTGAGACTTAATTTTCACCAAAGCTGTAAGACAGGCAGATAATAAATGTAGCACCTAATTATGGTCTCTAAGGCAAGTAGGAAAGCAATTTTCTGTGTGGGCACAATAAAAGCTTCTGCACACAGAATAATCCATCAACAAAAAATAGTATATATCCTTAAGACTTTAACATATTTGTTTAAAAAGAGGTTAACTTATATACTCAAAGTCAGCCATCTGAACATTCATTCAATTGAACGGTTGTGAAGGGGCCTCAGTTGAGCAGTTCATCTGAAGATTAGTTGAATATGTAAAGTAAGAAGGGTTAGGGTTAGCAAGTTTCATTAAAAAAAGAACATACCGGTGTCAAAACATATCCGTGCTCCAGACTTTTGAGCTGACATAGGATTCATGATTTGATCACTTTCGCTTTACAGGTCTTTTATGGTCGGAATTCCAACCATCACAAACACTATTCCAATATGAGGCCATAGTCAGTCATGTGTGCCTAACTTTACTTCAAAACTCTGCTTTCATGATGCCAACAACAACATTATTACAGTTTAGAATCATAGATTTCATGCTGTTAGGTCATTTTAGATGCCTATTAATGTGCTTTGAAATCTATATATGTCAGCATAAATCATTATTCTTATGATGAAACCACTAAATATAAAACAAACACAATAAAGATACCTTAACAGTATTGTCAGAACTTTTTCTTTCTACTTCTTATTAGACTAAACTGGGTCTATGCACACCCTCAGGCTTCACTACCACACGCTCAACCACGTACACTTTACTAAATGTGCCCCTAAAATACATTACGTAAACGGAAAATGTTTCAGAACCATTATAGACCAGCGCTAAAACTTACTTTGCAATGCTGTTTCGACTGTAAACGCTTTTTTACGGCCTCAAAGAGAAGACGCTTACCCAGAATTGCAGCCAGGGCGTGTTACAGAACCTGACAGCTGCCGGTGTTAGCCTGGGTTAGCCCCAGTAGCACTACCGGTTTGGGGAGTATTTTTAGCACAGGTGATGCTGGTTACTCTGAATTCTGTGCTTTTCATCATAAGAAGCGGGACCTTTTACACACCTTGTTCAAGCACCAAGTACAGATATTTTGTTTAAATGTTCGGAGGCAGTAAGGTTTGTGCTAATGTTAGCTTACTAGCTAACAGGTAAACCGAACGATGTTTAAGGGAATCAGCTGTGCGCTACAATAACGCAGGCAGTCTCTAAAATTAGATGTGAAGTCAGTTACCTCACATAGAAGTATTATCATCTTATAACTTCTAAAAAGGTCAAGTTGTAACAGTTTCATGTGCCAAATTTCCTGTCTGCTAAATGTTAGCCTTAAAAAATACTATGTCTTGGTTAACAACTTCTCAAAGCTAAAAACAACGTTCAAAAGCAGATCGAAAAAGTTTGAATTACAATTAATTCTTTTCTGGTCTTTAAAAAGTTATGATGTCTCACCTTTGAATCCAGGTCGACTATTCCCAGTTTGACCAGCGGCTAAGTCTTGATGCTGAATTTCTGGTCACTCGGTCTTTTTTGTTGTTTTCTTTGTAGAGGATCTGAAAACAACGAGCTCTCCCAAAGACTAGAATTTAGTTTAGCATCGTCAGGACTAACTACACCTCACAGCATTTGCTGGATATCCCTATAGTACACAATGCTTTAGTCGGATGACTGAAACTAGAATTCTCTCTTTTGGTGTCCCAGTTCTTTTAACACACTGTAGTTCCAGATAGGCCTGCAATCAGAGTGAATGTGTACAGAAATGCAATGTGGCAAAACTTTATTCTCCCATGCTTATATCATCTGTGAACATATGGTGAGGAATTATTTTAAAGCATCCAAACAAGACTGTAGTAGTGTTTTGAAGTATTACAACTCTCTGTTGCATTTTTTCATGCCAATGCTCAAAATCAATAATGGTATATTAGTCCTTTACCCACATGCCAACCATAAAGATACTTATCCAGTGCACAAAATTAACATAAATACATTTTTTTTATATTTACAATAAATATACATTAGTTTACAGTGACACAAACGGTGCTGTACAATAAAACAGTGCTGGAATATTAAACAACATTGCCATTTCATGTTTACACAGATTAAACTGATAAGTAACAGAGAATAAACTCTAAAATGATTTGTATTGATAGCTCACTGCTATTACTGAGTTTGTTTTTCAGCCCATCTTGATATAATATTGTCCTCCTCTCAAATCAGGGTCCTCATCACAAATGTATAGTCGGGTCTCTGTGCATACATCGGACCCAACAGTGCACAGTCAAAAAATATCAAAGAGCTTTTTCCTTCTGGCTAAGTGTTTTTCTTTTTTCTTTTTCAGAAATCGCTTGGCTTCCTTATGATCGCACACATTGTGGCGCATCCTGCTCCGAAGTTCATGCTCGGAGGTTGTGTTGTCCGTCACTGGCAGCCACACTCATCAACGATCATGTCCTCGTGGTGTCGAAGGAGCATCTCTCCATTCTCATAGTACAGCATGCTCAGTGGACTCATTTTGGTTGGAGCACAGCACGGCGGTACCACTCGTTCGGGATGGTAGTGTTTCAGTAGACTCTTTAAAAAAGAAGATACAGAACAGATGATTTAGGGAAATTATAGCATCAGAGAATTTCAAAAGATAGAGACTGAAACCACAGAAAAGTATTTTCTATTCAATCATCCAACTTTATGTCCATAACTGTTGAAGAGAGTATCATTTTATCTAAAAACATCACAAATACTTAATTTTCATGATAGAACTTTTTATCTTTGGTTTTCCTGACAATAAGTGAAAGAATCTTGTTTTTTTAAAGTATTTTTCAGTCATTCATTGATAGAAAACGATAAATTTACTTTTTGATAAATGTAATTATATTTTTTGGAGCAATATGTGGCTTTCAGCTTTATCAGATCTTCTATAAAATTAATTCCTGTGGCCAAAAGTAGTTGTCTGCTCCAAAATATCAGTAAGTGCATTTATATAACATTTAAAAAGTTAGTCGAACCGAAACTCAACCGATGGAATTTATCATTTAAATTGTTGGGAACAAATTCATCCAGATGACTGAAGTTCAAATCTGCACACTCCACTAAACTCAACTGTAACTACGTTAGAAAGAGCAAAATTAAGTCACAATCTAACATTTATCTAGCTCAGTTTAAGACTAGTTATTTAGACAGTCTAGTCATTTTAACATATCACAGGTTTCATTCACCAAGCTGGACAGTCAATCAGATTTGTCTCATTTACCCACTGATCTCATTAAAATTTCAAATAATGTCAACAAGATTTGACAAAGTCAAGGGAGATCTTTTTTGGAAAGATAAGATACTCTTTTACTGTTGGAAAAGTTGTATTGGTCATATAATCTTTCATTGGGCGTCGGTCTTTTGGACTAACCAGAACTGCCCAATCCCGATCAAAAAGAAGGGGAAAAAATTAGGGGAACAGTTCAGGTTGGGCTTTCTGATTGACTTTTTTTTCTATACAAATTCAGGTGAGGCAACGAGTAAAAATAAAAAACGTACTGACATTTCCAACATTTTGTTGTGCCTGTAATCTTAATAGTGAGTGAATTACCTGCATGTAAGCATGATTCGTTGGATTTACGTCTTCTCCCAGAGGTCCGAGGCAGGAACCCTCACAGCGGAAGGCATTGTATCTTTTAGGAAAGATGATCCAGGACCCCCAGCCAATTTGATTAAAGTCGACATGCAGGTCCACTCTGCGACAGAGAGATTTTTCACCCCCTCTCTTGAACACCTGCAGGTTTCTTGCTGTTTGTTCTGTCTGACCCCGTTTGCTCCTACGCCTCTTTGGCCAGTGGGCCCTTTTGATATCAGCAGGGGACAAAAACTTGGATTGTTCAGCTGTATGGAGCAAGCTTGCTTTAGCCTTTGAGTTTTCGTCAAACCCCGTGTGTGAGAAGACGACCAGCAAGGCCTGGTCACTCACGTCCTTCTCCTTTCTTGAGCCCTTAACATTAAGGGGGTGGTGGGCAATAGAGAGGCCTCTCTTTTTCTTGACCACTTTCCTTGGTCTTGATACTCTTTTGTATCGAATTTTGGCTTTGGATTTTTGCCTGAGCCAGCCCAGGAGAGGGTTTGTCATGTTGAACACTTTCCAGCTCCGTGATGACGTGGCCAACGTTGACTGAGTGAGCAGCCCCACCAACTCCTGCTGCTGGTGATACACCTCCACTGTGATGTTGGAAACACTTTGAGCTTGAGGAAGGCGGATTCTGAGCTCTGCTGCCTGGATATGTTTTTCAGCCAGGAGGGCATGTAGATTGAAAGTGGCCACCCAGCGCCCTTGTCTGTGGATCAGACCTAAAGTAATGAAAACAGAACCGTTAGCCAAAACTGAATTGCACGTAATACACATTGCATAATAGTTCGACTTTTGCCAAAATATGATTTTAAAGATGGTAGAGCAGTATAAAGTCTGAGGTCGGGACTTAATAAAGACCAGTCCGGTTGATAAAAAGATGTCTCTAAATTCCTGAATTGCACTCATCATCGAAACTAAATCAACCCTGACATTGTTATCTCAGAATATGATAATCATCAGGAAAGTGAAATTAGGACATTCAAAATTTTTAATCACATAATCACTCAGGACAAAATAACTCATAAACTGGTACACAGCAGACACAGAGAGGCCAAAATGGACAAAGGAAAAGTGGCTGATGAAAGGAATAAAAGGAAAGACCCGTAGTATTATGAGGACATTGTTGGGGCGAAAACTGCCTAAAACACCTGCCCAAAAGCCCCCACTGTGTTGAAATGGGTTGAAATCAGGTGATTGTGAAAGCTATAGGACACGATTTATAATCATTACTGTTCATATAACCAGTCAGTGAGTAATTGTGCCCACTAATGGTGACGTTTTCATTTTGGGTACAACAACAACATTAAAATGAAAATAAAAGATGAGGGCGATGCTTTGAATAACTTTATATTATCAGTTTGATGTAATCGTCCCTGTAAAGAAACCAAAACCATGTAAAAAAAATACAAATGATGGGATTACCTAGTGGTGGACGTTCTTTAAATCTCTCAACTTGATGTAAAACCCAATAATATATGTGTCTCGCATTTTTTAAATGTATGATTGATGAAATAATATTTGAAGCAGGTGTCACACACTATTACAGTGTGTAACCACTCAGCACATCCTTAGTTAACACATGCAAGAGGTGCTTCAGAAATAATAAAACTAATTCTGAGTGTTCAGTACGCACTGTGCCCACATCTCTAATGAGCCCCATTGTAATCCAATGAACAGGCATGGTTCAAATTAATCTGCAGGATTAGAACCTTTAAGGCATTAAACTGTGTATTGTTTGGTGCACCGGCACATCGAGTCTGGCTCTTGATCAAAAGTGCAAACCGTCATCGGCATTAATCCACTCAAAGCTCACTCCGAGCCGAAACCAATCATTCATCACAACCCTGCATGACCTGGCCTCTGCATATCCTCAGTCAAACAAACAGGTAATACCTCTAACACCTTGCAGCCATGTGAAATTAAATTCAGCAGCAGGGAGGGTTGTTTTGCGTTGACTCGCTTGTGCCACCATTAAATCCAGAGCTCTAATCTAATCAGACCGAGTGTGAAAAAGAACTAAGAGAAGTTGTTGATTTGACCCAACGGCAGATTTGTGTAGGGGGATGTCTGGCGAGGTACCTAATCAACATCAGCTATTTAAGAAAAAGAGGTTTGCTTTAGAATTAGACCGAAAACCGGCCTTTTCACACGCTGATCCGTGCATGGGTATTCACCCACTGAGCTGGATGTGGATTGAAGCCCTCTAAGGTCGTCTGGCACGCAGCGAAAGGGCACCACTTGAGCCAGAGGGGAAAAAAATTAACATTTGAGGGGTCTTCTGGTCTAGTTGCACCAGCTAAGCCGAGAAAATTTGAGGAAAAAAAAAACATCTGGTTCCAACCTATATCTAAACGTTTAAAAAGTAAAAGAAAATCTTACTTTTCGCCATCAAGCTCTTTACCGTGTCCGCTTTCTTTACCGCGTCCCGCTCCATTATGTCCAAAGGCCTGGATAAATTTGACTTGAAATTCCTGTAGAGGTGCATCATATAGGTTGGCAAGGGATGTCCGGATGACCTGTCCAGCACCGAAAAGGGATGTAAAGCCTTCATGTAAAGTCCGTCTCTGGACTTGTGAAGGCCGTGGACCAGCAGCAGCAGCAGAGATGTGTGCAGCGCAACGCCCAGAGCCTCCACTGAGCGCATGTTTCCAGCCGGTTAATGACAAATTCCTCCACAGGGAGATTATGGGTGTCTTATATACCCTCACCCACCCACTTTCATGTTTAACAAGTAGCTGAGAACATTAAAGGAAATTGACATGTGTCCTCAAGACTTGTTACCTGACAGCTCATCATCCATTCAGTTGGTAATGAGTTGGCCGGGTGACTGTTTACACGGGGCGCAGCGTCATGTTTGCCCCATCTTTTTTTGGGGGGGCTTCTGCCGTCTGAGTCTCCATCCTGGGATCGTTTGTTTCAGCTATTTGGCTTTTTCGCTAATGCCAAGGTTTTCCCCCTTAATGTAACGCAGTCTATTAAAGGTATTCTGAAATAGACTTAAGAACAATCAGGCCACTGTGGATGTTGGACATGGAAGAGGGCAAAACATGTTCAACATATTGAAACAACTTTTCCCCTGTGTTCAGTTTTAAATGAACAGCTCTTATATTTGTTGCATAGAATTAACTTTATTCATGAATTGATTAAAGTAATACCCCCAATCTACACCTAAGGTTCACGAATGTAAAAGATTGTAATCATTTTCTCTCAATATTTATTGTAGATTTAACATCCACATAAATGGTGAAAGCTGACATTTTCTTGTACTTTTGCAGCCAGGTGACAAAAGTAGTTTATAATCTTTATGTATAATTCATTATGTCATAGCAGGTTCAGTTTAGTGTGAATTTAATGTAAGAAATCCCTAAACAGAATGCGATGCAGTTAGGACATATCCTACTGAATAGGGTGTAATTATATAATAAATGATCACATGTGAATGTAAAATACAGCAAATGGGACGTTAAATTACTCAAGTAATTTCTTAAGTCTACTGCGGTGACGACTTTACAACTCGTTTACTATTTCATACATATCTTATAGAAATGGAGAAAAATAATGCTATGTATTTAGTTACACAACAGACGAGACTGTCTGACAAATGAAAAAAAGATAAAAGATGAAAATAAGGATAAGTCAGGCCTGCCACAAAAAGAAGATAAAAGTCTCTGGAAACATTTTATTGACCTCTGACACACTGTCAGAAGGGGGTAAAACTAAACGGGAAACAACTACTATACCTCCCTTTCAGATTTGTCTTTCTAACATTACACTGTTCATAAAAGTTCTCCATATATTTATGGTCAGTTTTCACTTGTCAGTGAACATACTACTGCAGCTTTTGAATTCTCCCTATGATGTCCCCATGTATGTTTGAAATGAGCAGTGTTTACTCATTTGCGTAGAGACTGGGTCAGCAGGAAGCATAGCTTTTTACCTACTGAGTAGTTCCAACAAGGATGTTCTGTTCTTTTCTTTTTTTTTTTTGAACTGGTGGAGAGCATCAGTGGATGACCACAGGGTGCGCATGCGCAGTCTATCTGCATCCACATAGCGAGGTCCCTTTTCCTCGCGAATATCCCAAGAAAGGACAGTTTCCCCCCCTACTTTTCTATTTATATAAACCGTAAGCTGTGCACCTCGGCCACGTCTCCCTTCGCCATATAAAACGAGCTCGGTAAACATGTTTTCTCAAGACGCCTTTTCACCGACCGTGTGCTGAAATGGTGAGTCGCTTTAAAGTTTACGGCTCTTGTTTCACGAGCCACAGTCGCCTAAAAAGTGGACATTTACGGCTTTCTGCACGCGCACCGCGTCATAATCTCAACAATTGTGATATATATGTCTTGGACTTTGACTTTGACACACAAAAAAAGCAACGAAGGCTGTTTTTACGGTTTAAAAACGCTTGCGTGGTCGTTTGGGGCACGCATGTGCACGTGCCCCTCCGCGCACCAACTTTATTGTGCTCTTCTGCATCTGCTGATTTGGCCACGGGAGTCGATGGGGAGTTTTATTTTGCAGAGCAGACTGCATCTTTCGGTGCACCAGCCGTTAGTGAGTCGGTGGCACGAGCCCCTGGCTTCCTCAGACAGATCAAACGATGTTTGATGGTCAGAGTGGGTTGTGGGACATCTATTCTTCAATGAATGTGCAAAGTGGAGAGAGTACTCAAAGCATCAAGTCCCTTACCTCAGCTTACTGCCAGGGTGCATGATCAAACATGACCACAGTGACCATATTGATACCCTGTGTTCCCCCCTCTATAGGCAGAAAAATGTGTATTTTGTCTAAATATGTCTGTGCAGTCAATTCAGCCATTGTAAAAGTATTTAGTCATTGTCACATACGCCCATATTTCTGATCGCCATTGATGAAATGGGACACTGCCGGCATGAGGAGCCCCCTGGCAAAGTAAGACAAAGCACACCATGCCCCTTTGATGTGTGGTGCCCTTGCCCCGGCCTTTGTTTGAGTTGGCCCGTCCAGCTGGGACGGGTCTCCTGTCGGGCATATCACTTTACCCTGAGTCCTGTGGAAAGACAGAAACTGGCTCTGAGTTAGGTGAGAGCCCGCATCAAGCTGTGAACATCACAATTAATCAAGAGTGAGAGCACGAAACTCCTCGGTGAATGAGCAGCTGGATGATAAATGATTGAGCCATACACTGGCTTTATCTTGATAAGATGCTTAAATGAACAGATTTACTGCTCTCAGGTGGAGATAAAGAAAAAAAGAAGCAGAACGTTTTCTGGTGTCGTAGGCCTAAGTTTAAGTAGGATAAAGATGTTCCCTGAATCAGATGGAGACCTGTTTTTGACAAGTTTTAAAAAGAAATCTTTTTTTAAACACATATCACTATACTCATCTGCGTCCCTGTAAGTGGAAGCTCTTTGTGCAGGCTGAGTGCAGTGAGTCATTTTTACCACAAGATGTCATATGGCATCACTGGACATTGGAAAATGTTTCATATCCCCAAAAACATACCCAGGGATTAGTTGTGATTGATTACGGGGTGTTCTTCCTGGGAGCTGCTGTTGTATTTCTAACTTGACAAGAATTGGTAGAAGGAAAAAATGGATCTGGCAGCGGCACCTCTGTCTTGTGAGATGAAGGATTTTATTAAGAAACTGTGCTCATGATAATATTTTATCCCTCTTTGAGTACTTTTGGCACAGGTGAAATGTTTTCCTCTGGTATCTCCTTCTTTCCTGTTGCTCTTACAAGGCTTTTAACAAAGTGACAGACAGACACCAGGCCTAAGAGAGGATTTAGACAAGACAGGTGATATAAGGCTTATGCTCTTTTTCCATGTGGGACATTAAGCAGGGAGGATGTTTTATTTATTCTGCCAAAGCACATCCTCTTCTTCCAAATTGTGTGGTAATATTTTTGTCTTTTTCTTTAAAGGGGAAAGGAGGGAAGCTGACAGAGCACGAAGAATCATTGTGTGGCTTTGAGGCTCTAGATTTAATTCCGTTTACGCACGACTTCTTTATAGCTTTGGCGTTGCTCCCTCAAAATCACTGTGATGAATCCAGTGACTTATGGCTGATTTCTCACTTCCTGGACTGATTCATTCATGTTTGTGGGCCACGGGAGGGTTTAGTTTCACATTTATGCTGCTGCAAGAACATCAGAGTCTGGGCCTGCGCTGCTGCAGGAAGGAAGGAACAGGTGTGGCAGCAGCAGATTTTGACATCCATATCTCGAAAATTGCTTGCCACTTTTGCAAATGAGCCTAATGTTAAGATTATCTTGCGACGATTTTCGCATACCTTTGTAAGACATTCTCTCAGGCTGCCACTCAAAAGATAAGGCTGATGTTATTGACTTTTTCTGTTTGTTTGTTGTTGAGTTATTTATAGCTTTAATTGTGTAAGCAGGTACGAGTACGTCCGGCAATTATTTCTGGATTTCTGGCAGGTTGCTGCCAGCAGATGAAATGAGCTGTGATCTTGCCCCAAGTTACCCTTTGCATATGAAGTTAGGTTACAAGCAGAACACCCCACGGCCGTCTGCAGCTGAAGCTCAGGCTTAAATCAAGAGTATTTGTCCAGCTGTAAGCCTGTTTGCCTTCAGCATGGCACGTGTTAACTGCTAATGAATGGAGTAATTAGAGCATTGTGGTGAATTAGGCTTATGCGATGTCATCTGTGTGCAGTTATTAGTGATCGTCAGCCGCCTGGCTGGTTCGCACTGCCCCAAGTCAGGAAAGGTTAACCGTTTGAGCTGATAGCAACACGTTTGATAAGCCAAGGCTCAGTGGTGTGTTTTCTAATGCAGCTGTTGAAAGACTTGCCATGTGTGGAGGGTATTGTGCTGCCTGGAGGCTCTGGTAGTCATTGGATAGTGAGGTGGATGATGAGTAAGCCTCTCAAGGCCCGCCTCCACATCCTCTCTACACACACACACACTTTTTGACACACACGCACAAATCCTGGCACGCACGGGTGGCTTTGCACCTTATGCACCGGGGACGCGTACGAAAAAGTAACAGGCCGCCAACAAGGAAACATGCCTTCACACATCTGAGCCTGTGACGGAGAGCTGTGCCTCCCTCTCTGCCGTCTGCCGCTGAGTGGCTGCCTGGGATCTGTCCCCTCTGAAGGACACGTCCATTGACTGGCTTTATAAGGACTCGCTAATGATGCGCCGCTGCCGCCTGCTGTAGTTTGATCAGCAGGCAGAGACAGATTGCCTCTCAGATCCGACTCAGAGATGCCAGCGCGGACGTGTAGCTGAGACCGGTTGTCTGCAAGAGAGCTGTCAGTTTGGTTATTTTTAACCTACTATTTCCTATTTTGTAATTCCCCTTGTGCGCCCCTCGGATGGTGGACTGAACACCCGAATATCAGGTATAGTTGTCATACCAGCCACTGTTGTGATGCTCGGGTCCTGCTGTAGTCTTGTGTTGTGTCTTTTGTCAGTTTCTGTTTAAAGAGGAGATTTTCACACACTATCAGATGTTTGTGATGATTTCAATTCAGACTTAACCTTGCAGGACTTTAAAACAGTTTACATTTAGCCAGTTATTATTCAATTAATCAGTCATGGCGGATAAAAAAAAACAGGCTTTCCTTTTTTTTTGTGGGCTTGAAACCTCAGAATGGTAAGTGAAAGAACGCATGTTAACCTCGCATTGTGAAATCTGCCTGCGGAAGCAGAGGGACAGTTATTTGAAGGGTGTGACATATCAAAATCATTCAGTTGGCCTGGCAGCGCAGGCAGTTTTGTGGTTGGATACTGAGGTTTACAGAAAAAAAAAGGAAGCCACAGTCCTGCAGCCTCGAAATCATAGAGGGATAAAATTGCCGTCTTAAGATGAAAAAAATTACAGGCAGGTTTAGAAATAGCAGCGCCTTCCCATTTTAGAAGTCAAACTGTGATCCAACAAAGAATGTGGGGGAATAGTGGCCATTCATGGGATCTATGTCGTACAACTACTGCAGCGGGATGTCATGTAGTTTTTGTTGAGTTCAGCAGATTGGAAATTTTTTTTACTCGACAAAACGGAATATCGGCAAGTTCCTTTTTGTCGGTCAGTGCAGTCATTTGTTTAGTCGGGCGACAATTGTTTCACATGTTCCGACCAGATTTGGAAATGACATGTTTGAACAATAGCAAAGCGGTCTGAGTCTGAGCAGATTGACGGGCGCTTTGTGGAGGACAAAAACAAACGTTGAAGCTTTAAGTTGACAAAAATTCACAATGAGGTTTTTGGGAAGAAAATATTTTTTTTCTGTCTAAAGGAAGCCCCGAGCTCATTTCCGGACAGAACTGATGTTTAGCTGAGGAACTAACAATGTCCTGTGGAATCATGCCTCTTTGTAACCTTTAACCTCATTGATGAAATATGTGTTCAGCTGCGGGGAGGAAGTTACAAAAAGTACAACTGAGCATTTCCTGTAAAGGTGTGCTCAGGCTTCCTTTTTGCCGGGTTGGGTAATAACGGCATCATAGTGAACGCTCATCTGTGGAACTTTGTCTGATTCTTAAGAAGATGAGAATATTTAATCGTGTTTATTAGAGACTGATGGCACATTTTTCCATGCGTTTCTTTTCCTATTTAAATGGACCAGCAAATGCATTTAAAGCTAGGGGGTTGAAACCTGTTGTTGGAATCTAATTCTGAGGCCTCTTGTTGCCTTTGTGGCACCAATAAGTATTCAGACCATACATTGTCAGACTGAGCATGTGGCCTCCATGGAGACCAGCGGGATTCCTTGAATTAGATCTGCAACCTTGCCAATTAAGCAAACTGTATTGAATTTTAGTCTCCTGTGAGGTTTTCGCTACACTCGCGGCTCCCTTCTCTACCCTGATAAGGGAAGTTGTGTTGATAGATCTTCTATGTGCTACAAAGCGATACCCATCTCTCTTGAACTCCTGCATCTCTTGTGAATGAAGAGCGCTCCGCATCCTTCCTCGGGGCCACCAACAGATGCATCCTGCAGCTGCAAGCTCCTTCCTGTCGGTGCTCAGACCCTTTTGTTTAAAGACGTCTCTACAGCAAAGTTGGGACACCGGCTGAATTTAAATGGGGCCGTCCTGAATGGAGCAATGCCCGGCTCTCTGGCAGGAGCTCTGAGTTTCCACAGTCCTAATTTAACCGTGCCACCATGGAATTTAAGGGCTGGTGCAACTGGTGCCGACGTTGAGCAACGGCCCACGTCCCAGCCGACAGCCACGCATACGAACCCGAGAGATCATCTGTTGTTTTGTGTTTTGTTTTTTTCTTTTTTGGCTTCCTCTGTTTTGTCTTTCGTCCTTTGTATTGTTCCCCAGCGTTGTCAGCTGACATCTCGCAGCGCTACTCCGGCTCACATGCGGGATAAACAGGCTCCCTGATGAGCCGCCTCCATTGGTTCATCAGGAGGATGTTTATGACTGAGGGCTATTTCTACTCAGGCCTCCGCCCCGGCTGCCCGCCCGCTACAGCAGGTCTGCCCGGCTGAAATCAGTGTTGCTTAGGAGGAGGTCTTGTGTGGCAAAGGGAACTTTCCTGCCAGAACTTCTCGCCATGGTCCCGCAGCTGAGCTGACGGCCCGAAAGGTAAGACGGAGACGCGGCCGTGTGGCGTGCAGCGTTAGTAATGTGACATTTCCTCCAAGGGCTCGTAAAACCGAAGCATCAGGAAGTACCAGGCAGCCTGTTTTCAAAATAACCACATGGGATAGGCTATAGGAAGCTCCAGCCAGCGGATGAGGATAATATAGGAATCTGTTGAGCGAGTGCTTTATTGGCTGCTGCTGAGCCACACAGAAACGTGGCTGTGTTGGTGTGTAAAGGAAACCTACTGATCAAATGTCCCTAAAATGACAGAGACTGCTGTGTGAGCTCTCCATGCTGAGAGGGATTCAGCAGACAACAGTGTTGTTCTGAAATACAAAGACAGTTTTAGTAAAGGCTGTTTAGCGCAAATCCTCAAACAACACAAATGGGATATGAGTATTAAAAAGTTTTTTTTCATGGCGAAAAGTATTATTTTCCTTTTGCAAAGTTCCCTAAAAGTTTGTGAACGACGGGCTGTTAAGTGCAAAGAAACTTTCAAAAAAGGCTGTGGATGAATTTCCCAGTGGATCTTTTTTTATCGTCATTTCAATGCCTCCATCTTCTGGTGCCCTCTGGAGAATTCCCCGATTCTGCGGCCGGTCACCGTTGCCGGGTCTGTCCCTGTGAAAGAGAGCTGAACTTCAGACAGCTGGCCGCCAGATGTGCAACAACTTCCCCCGGTCCTCTCCGTAGAGACGCGAGTCCCTCTCATGAATCTGCCGCCTCCCAACATCACAGAGGAGATAGAGCGCAGTTGAGGAGGACGGTGCCTGAAAACGCAGTTTTTCCTGAATGCCAAGGAGCCAGGCTCTCTGAGCTCCCACGAGGGGTGTTTCCCATCGTCTGGGGGTGGCTGATGGGATTCCGCAGAGGAAGGTTTTCTTTTTGGATGCGGTGCCAAGTTCTCATACTTCTTTTGGACCATGGCGGGAAACAAGCAGCAAAGGAAAGGATCTGGAAGCGCAGACCGCTCCTTATCTCATCTGTAAGGCATCCAACGTTAGCAGATCTTGTAAGGTTTGGATTTTTCATGCGGCGGCTACTTTTGGCAGCCGAGATGCTTTTGGTATGTGGCGAGGACCGAAATAGGCTTGGCCAGCTGGTTCGGAGCGTTCTGTAAAACGTGGCTTCCTCTGCGGGACTTGTCTTTTTACTTTTTTACGTCTGATTTTACTGCACGACGCTCCGTTGTACACTAGTATTCAGCTGCAGGAGTCTTTTTAATAGTGCATTTTAACGGTTTCTCAAAACAAACCAGGAGACGAGCACTGTGTTGTGTTACCAGTTGCTGTTGGGAGGAGCAAACCCTTTTTCTTTTCTTTTTTCTTATTTAATCAAAAGCGTGGCTTAGTACAAGGTTAATCTACCCACTCACCTCCAGACGCAACAACGAGGAGAGTAGCTGTGACTCACTCGGCACTTCTCTCTGCATAATTAGAGTCCACTCTATTCGGAGCTGCAGATCACATAGACTCACTTTGAGCCCAGGCGGCAAAATGCAACATGTTATTCGACCGCTTGTGGTTTTGGCTTTCTTCTGTGCTCCTCTTTGTTTTTAATCCGTAGGACTTTTCTTAAACTGTGCCAGCCCTATGTGTGTGGGTGCCTGTTTTTATGCTCCAACGCTGCAGGTTTCCGACCAGCTACATGTTGGAAATGAAGTTTCGGAGCAGTTCGGCTCCGGACGGCTCAGCTGTTAGAAGGCTTGCCTGTTTACTTGCAGAGTTACTTGAAAAACATTTTGTGTTTTGTTTTTTTTTCAGAGGGGTGGCTTGCTTGAAACCTCTCATGGTGCTTTGTATGAAGCTGTCTGACAGAAAAAACATAAATGCTTTTTCTCTTAACTTCAGTCCCACTCCACCTCAGTCAGGACAAAATCATACAAACATGAAATCAATCTTGTTTGTTTTATGTTCTGCCCCTCCATTAAGATTCCTAAAAAACAGCTCCTGTTCTTTTCCCCCCTAAAATGTTATCTATCTTTTGTTTTGCTGCTCCAGCCAAGCAAAGATTATGAAAAAAAAAAAAGAACAAAAATTTGTAGTTTGATAGTTGTAGCTTTCAATTTGCCAAATATTTTATCTGGCTCTGTTGAATTTGAGCAAAAGTCCCACTGGCCATTATTAATAGAAGTGTTAACAATGTCCTTGTCAGTTCCTGCACAAAACATTTTCTCTATTTTGCGTGTGTGGGAGAGAATGTGACCATGACTTTTATCTTTTATCTGACATGTTTTAGCTTGTGTTTGGTCAGAATTAGACACCGCTTTAAGCCGGACTTTCCCACACACACAGCACACGTTATGCCGCCACAGTGGCCATCGGATTGTGAGGCCGGCGGCGCCATAAGCGTTTATTCTGCCACCTCAGGTGCATAAGAACCACTGCAGTTTTCCTCCTAAATGCTAGATATTTGCTACAGAGGCTGTGGCACTTCAGTCCCACAGGACTAGCTTTAGAAGGAGCCCTGTGCACAGTGTATCATCGGTATGTAGACTTAAACCCATAGACTTATATACAACTTTCCCTTTTCTGTCCGTCTTCAAATGTTGCTTGTGAATACGAGCATCCAGGTTAATTAAAAACATCAACAAGTCATGATTAAAAAAAAAAGTAACAATTTGTCTCCATCTACATAAATTTTGATGCTCTGGTAGACTACCGTCCACCCCCCCTTACAGTCCCTATCTGCAGGTTTTAAGCTGTGTGAATGATTTATTTGTTTCCTGTTTCTGACCCCACTGTGATGTCCCCCGCAGCAGCTTGTGGAGCATGGGTACAACTGCCAGTGCTGCACCACAGCCCGTTTCGGTAGCGTCGCCGCTTGAGAGTGTCCATGGCAACGGGATGGCTGACAGCAGGCAGTCACTTAGCATGAGCCCCTACCAGACAGTCAACATCCACAACAACAAGGCCAAGTCCATTATCACCAACAAAGTTGCACCTGTCGTCATCACGTAAGTTCCTCCTCAAATCTGCGTTCTCACAAATGGCCGCTAATCCTCTTGGATTGCCGCGGAGACGTCCCCCAATCCCGAGGTGCAATGTTTGCCCCCGTTATCGTCTCTTTAGCCACCCGCAAGCCAGAGCAAACGCTAACCTCCACTTTGTCGGATTTGCAGATACAATTGCAGACAGGAGTTCCAGATTCATGATGAGATCCTCAAGGCCAACTACAAAGTTGGCCGGATATCCGACTCCATGCCCGAGCACTACCTGGTGCAGGTAGGGAAAAAAGCTATTGTGAGCACCACCCATTCAGCCGCAACGAGACACCACGGTGTCAGAAGAGGCGGTGGAGCCCCCTTACTTGTCTCTCTTGCTCCTCTCTTCACATTAACATGTCCAACTGGCAGAATGGCGTAGAAACATTGTCATGCGCTGTTTTATGATTAGAGGCAGCCATTGAAACAGGACTGTTCTCACCCTCCTATCAAGGCTTTGATCCGTTCTGTCACCTCTCCTGTGGCAGTTCAGACATGCAGGGCTGTGTCAGGGTTAACCCACAGCTCCTGTTTACAGCCACGGCCAGGTCAGGTTTGCTCTACCTTAAGATCAAATCCATGAAAAACATTATGCTTCCCTCTACATTTTCGCATCAAAATCCTGATGTTTCTCTTATTGAAGTACCATTAAATTGTTTAAACTGAATTAATAATTACTGATTAATTAATTATGGAAAAATTCAAGGGTCAAAAAGCTGCCTCTAGTCACAAAGCCCAAACCTGCCTCTCAGCTTCTCAAATTAATTCATTAGTTCCCAAATTAACTATAAGAGATCTTGATTAAAACTTTTCAGAAAAGCTTTATGGCATTCAGAGCTTAACAAATCCTGGTATATTAACTTTGGATTTGACCCAAACAATGTGATGCCATGTCAAGCTCTCAGTGACCTGTTAATGTGCAGTTATGTAGAGAAATTAGGTGTAAACCTTTTGGTGATATGATGCAGAATCGTATGACCCACTTTGAGCCACATTGGCCCCAAGTCTGAAAGAGACTGAGTCCTCTTTAAACCGCTCTGTCTGTTTGCTGTGAAGGTGTTGTCAGGCTGATGTGGGTGAGGATGTTTTCTCTGTATGCATGTGTTTTATCTGTTTGCCCTTGCTTTCTCAAGTTGGGAGCGTCAAGTTCTCAGGGTCACCAAGGCAAACACCAAAGATGGAGGCGTCGGAGCAGAGGTTTAATCTGTTTAGACAACAAAGTAACTAGACTGTGTTAGTTGTATGGTGTGCAAACAGAAGAAAGAGGAGACGATTGAACCATTTTCCGATTGTTTTGATTTTGGTTAAATGATACAGTTTTTGTCGTGGGTGGAGGCTGTGACGAGCCAAGGTATTTTCACATGTGGGGAAGTAATGAGGGAAACCCTGTCAGATAGACCCGCATCGAGGTTTCACCTGTTTCCAGGGGGAGTACTTCATGGTCCAAGATGTGTACAGTAAGGCAGATGTCCTCAGCACCACAAGCAGCTACGGAGTCCCCAACTTCCGCCAAGTGAAGGGATCTTACCCACTGTATGGGATGGGTCAGCCCAGCCTGAACGGCTTCAAGCAGGTTCTCCAGAGACTCCAGGCACAAGGACATGAGGTCATTTTCTTTTCTCAGCATATGCCTGGCCTAAATTTCTTGCACATTTGGTCTCAGTGCCTGAGTAACTCTGCCTCGCCTCTTTCTCTCAGTGTTGTCAGTAAATATTTGATGAGTCAAGCTCTCAGTGAAGGCTATTGCTGAACTGAGCAAACAAAGTAGTGGTTATGAGTACCAGGGGAAAATGTATGTCCCTGCTTACAGCAGCTAAAAACTGACTGCAATTGAAATGAAATTGACAAAATTATACATCAGGCCTATTTCAGCTGGTGTGCTTTATTTTAAGTGATGACAGATTGTTTCCATTTAATTTTGGAAGTGGTTTAGTCGGGACACGGCAAAGATCATTCCCTCTTGTTTTGCGTTGTTTTATCCAACAGGAGATTATATTCTTCTGTGTAAGAGAGGAGCCAGTGGTGTTCCTCCACAAGGAGGATGACTTTGTGCCATACACCCCTCGGAAGAAGGAAAATCTCCACGAAAACCTCCACGGACTGGAAAGGGATGTGATGGTGGAGAGCCTGGAGCTCACCATAAGAAACGAGGTGCCACACATTCACTCGTCTCCTAGGTGTGCTAGAGGAAGTCTTTTAGCAGAACATTATTGATTGCAGCTGAATCCCCTGCCTTCCTCCGCAGCTTCATGACTTCGCCAAGCTCAACGAAAATATCCTCTATGTTTATAATGACATCGAGTTCTTCAAAGATGAGCCACAGAAGATATCTATCACGTGTGAGGAGGACATCCATGTGACCGAAGAGGTCTATAAGAGGCCCGTGTTCACTCTGCCGGCCTACAGGTTGTTTACATTGTTTCCTTAGTAGCTCTCAGCTCACACATCAGCTCAGACAGAGCAGCGAGTGGCTGCCTCAGAGCATGCAGGGAGGGTTATAAATAGTGTCGCTTGTTTGCGCAAAGCCTGGTTGCCCTGCTTTCTTTTTTCGTACTTTTTAAAAAAAAGTGGGTCGTGAAAACTAAAGCTTCCTCCATCCCGTAAGCAGCAAGATTGACACGAGCTCCTGAATGTAAGGACACAAGATTGTCTTCTTTCTCAAGAAGGGTGCTGAAAACTCTGCTCTTTATATGGTATTTTCAAATGAAATTCTGATTATTTTCTTACTCATAGCCTTAATGTACAGGTTGTTTTTTAGTGAGCAGTTATGACCCACATATTTGTGATATTCCCTGTAATCCGTTGTGGGTTGTCGGGGGGGGGGGGTAGTTTTTACATGATGAGATTTACTAAGTACAACGTGCGGAGGCTCACCTGTTCAGTCTTGAGGTCCCGTCTTTGTTTATGTGCAATGTGCTCTGACCTACATCAGGGCAATATTTACACAACACAGGCTGCAGGTTACACTGGCAGTGACAGCCTCTGGCGTTGCAGGTACTACAGATTACCACTACCGATGGAGGGAGCCCCATTGGAAGAAGACTTTGATGCGTTCGTGACCATACTCAGGGTAAGCTCATGTAAAAATGTCAGTCATACATAGAGTCCACCCTTTAAAAAGCCCCTTTTTGGTGGTGCTTCACTCGTTAGGATAGTGGAATGATGCGCTATGGAAGTTATTAATGGCTGACATGCTGGAAGGCATCTGGAATCTCTCACTGAGGTAGTGGGAAGGTCACACTAGCTTTTATTTAATCCATTTCTAAATCTGTCTCGTCTGTGTAGTCAATCACTAAAAGATGGGATGGTTATAAAAAAGAGCCATTGTCACTTTATGTCCACTCTTCATTCGGCTACATCTGGTTAGCGTCCTGCCCTTCACTCTTGCAGGATGTTCCCTTTGCCTCATTTTGCCCTTTTTAGGACTGACTTGCAGCAGTGGGTCCAGTTCCCTGTGGTTGGAAAGCGGCTCCCTCTTTTTTTAACAGTGTCTTGGATCAGAGCATTAATGCAGTTATTTTTCTTTTCAGTCAGCCTTTTTGTAAATCAAACAGGACAGATTTAGCACTGATTTGCGGTCTAGCAAATTCTTCTCACTGATACTTTTTTTTTTCTCTTGGATTGAAACATTTTATTGAACAAAAATTCAGATCTGACCTTTTTAAAAAATCTGTATGTGTCTAAAACTTTACCATCTTTTGCATTCATGTTTTCATCATAACCGCCATTCCCGGTGTAATGATACGACAGTGTTGCTCAGTGTAGTCTGCAATCCATGCCTCTTCATTTTCCGATGTGCTCTGTTTTGCAGGAGAGTCGAAGCTTGTCTCTGGGCTCCGATGCGTCCCGGCAGCTCCCTGCTCTGCTGTTCAGCTGCCAAGTGGGCGTCGGCCGCACCAACCTCGCCATGATCCTGGGCACACTAGTGATGAATCGCCTCAGGGGGGATTCACAGCCTCAGTAAGAGCTCAGAGCCAGATAAAGGCTATGCCTTTTTACCATTTTTGAAAAAATAGAACTTGACGTTCATTTTTTTTCTTTTCTTGCAGAGTTGAGGAGTCAGCCCCCATGGAGTCCAGACCACTATTCCAAATAGTTCAGACTCTGATCAACAAGCTGCCGAATGGACAACAGCTCATGGAAGAGGTAAAGCGGATGATGAGCATAAATGCTAAAATGTCTGTCGTAAAACACATTTAAAGAGGATTATAGATTTTATGTTAAAAACTGATCTACGACAGCAAAGGAGTTTAACAAAAATACAAAACAGTTTGACTGAAATTTTTTTATTTATTTTATTTTTTTTACCCCTTGGCAGGTTGACCAGGCTATTGGCTTGTGTTCCGAAATGCACAACATAAAGGAAGCAATGTACGAAAACAAGAGTAAGCTGGAAGGGATCGGAGAAGACTATCAAATCCAGGTAAGTGATGTTATTTTCTGCTGATGGTAGCGTCTTCAAGCATGTCCTGCCATGAAATGCTCCAGATTTCCAGCAGCCGGTGCTTCTCAGTTTGTGCTCCGCCTAAAACGGCCAGTGTGAAAGCTCAGTCAGGTCATATTGACAACGACGTCCTTATCCATGAAAGCCCGACATGAGTGGAATTTTGAATATCAGGAACACAGAAGTGAGCGGGTCATGAGGCTTCTGTTTGTCTTGTAGGGAAGCAGCACCAAAGACTACTTTCTCAACAGAACCATGCAGAGCTTGGAGCGCTACTTTTACTTGATTGTATTTAATGCCTACTTACATGAACAGGTACAGTCTTTTTTTTTTTTCATTGGACATGTCTTCAGGGATCCAGTGAAAACAATCGAGCTTTGGCCCTGTTGTGTTTATTTCCAGTACCCGCTTGCCTTCGTGTCCAACTTCAGTCAGTGGATGTGCTCCCACCCTTGGCTGTACAGGCTGCTGGCCTGCATGGATCTGTCGGAGCTTTCGGCTCCGGCTGAGCTGGTCACCAGAGGAGCCCGCGTACTGGTGAGGAAATTTGAAACACACCAACAGAATTTGCAGATTCTTATTTTTGGAGATGTATTGTTTGTTTGTTTTTACATCAGATTTTGTCTTAAAATTGTTTATTGCATCTCTGTAAAGATGCAAAGTTCACCAAAATGATTAACTTTGAACAGCCAGAATAAGATATTAGTGACTGTATGTATGCTTCTGGCCTGGACTAAATATTCTGAGCAGTGCTTCTGCTGTTTTTTTCCATCTTATTATTCAGTAATTTAAGCAGCTGCCTGCTCTAACGAACTCATCTGTACCTTCACAATGACTTCATATCACATGTTGTGATTACTTATAAGTGCTTGTCTCTGAGTAGGTCGCTGATGAATACTTGGCTCCTGATGTGCTCAGCACAGTCAAAGAGATGAAGGCAGCCAACTTCAGACGAGTGCCCAAGATGCCCGTTTATGGAATGGCCCAGCCCACATCAGAGGTGGAGTGCAGTCTCTCATTAGTTAATGAAATTAACACTGGTTCTCTTTTTTTATGTACCCAAATATAGTGTTCATAGCTTGATAAAGAGTATAAAACATTTCCACTGGTCTACCCTTTAAAAAAATAAATTTACTGATGTCTTGAGACAAAACTTGGCTGATAATAACATGTTAAACTAAAGAAACAGATCTAATGATACAATATAATTTTTTTTGTTGTAATCATTAAGTTTGCTTCCTGAATATCTGACTCTTGCTCCTGGTGTTTCCACACTAAAGTGATGGATCAATATGCATCCCTATTCTGTGGAATATTCATGAGTACAAACAGACTCATAGGAATGACTCATGATTATTTTATGGAGACTTGCACGCCCACTACAGAATGCTCATGCTGGATTTCCAGCTCTTTGCCTTAATAGTCCATGTGCTCTATACAGGCAATTGGAGCAGTTCTGGCCCATCTGACAGATGAAAAGAGGAAGCACAGCCACGTGTTGTGGGTAGACCTGCAGGAGGAGTTGGTGCTCGAAGGAAATGGGCAGATGTTCACTCCCAGAGAACCCCTGTGTCTGGACCAACACATTTTTGTCCCAACAAGTGACCCAGAGCAACTAGAGGTGGATGAAAATCCCTTAGTGTGATAACTCACCAGTAGGGCTTATAGAATTCTAAGTGTTTCTGCTTTCCCTCCTGGTTTCCAGAAACTGGAGACGTCCCTTAAGGAGGAGATCTTGCGAGCTCAGAAATGGTTGGAGGTGACACTGGAGCAGGAGAAACAGATGAAGATGTTTAAAACCTGCTTGACTGTTCAGGAGATCTTCAACCAGCACAAAAGCTCCCACCGGGGCCTCATGTACAAACGCATCCCTCTGCCAGACTGCAGCGCACCCGGGGAGGAGGTAATGTCTTAGATGGGTGCAGAAACACGCACGTCCATGTAGACATTTGATGCAGAGAGCGCATCAAGAGCTGACGTTTGGCTGGAAGGCAGTTGACAATAATGAAGTGTTGTGCTCCCTCTAGTGGCTGAAAATGTTAGTGTTTTTCTGAACCTCTTAAATTCCAATCACTATCTAATCAGATCTGTATTTTTTGTATTTTTTTGTTTTTTACAATCATACATGTGGAATTACGGCTTTTTTAATTTATTATTATTTTTTATATTTTGTTTTCTGATTATATGCATGTGTGTCTTTGTGTGATGTTCGTAGGATTTTGATACTGTGTTGAAGGCCATGAAAGGTACTTTGGCTGAGGATTCCCATTCAGCTTTTGTCTTTCATTGCTCCAATGGCAAAGGCAGAACCACGACTGCCATGGTTGTTGCTGTTTTGACCCTCTGGCACTTCAATGTAAGCAAAGATCTTAAAATGCGCTTTATTAAGGCCGGAGTATGTCTGTCTGAACTAAAAAAAAAAATTACTCCCATCTTCAGGGTTTTCCAGAGTTTGCTGATGATGAGATTGTGAGTGTTCCCGATGCCAAGTACACAAAAGGAGAATTTGAGGTATGCACATTTTTAAAAGACTTAACAGCAGAAGTATGTAAGCAGTGAAAAGTTGATAAAAACTCTCAATTACAAGCAAATGTAAATCACTGATCATAGACAATAAACACACAGAATTTAAAGGAAGTTTACACAACAGCAGACAATAAAAAATCTGAGCTGTGCTCTCTGCTCCAAGACATAGAGAGCTTGTCTGCACAGGATATTGATGGATGTTTCTCAGATCAGACAAAACGACCCACACCTATGGGTCAAACAAAGCTGGATTTAAGTAAAGCAGACGTAGATTTAAAATCACTGCACAGCTGTCACGGTCCAGCTGTGGATTAAGCCATTATTACATTTTTTTGTGGTGAATAAGTCCTTCCAGTCAGAATTATCTGGTGTAGAGTGAGGCAGAGACTCACTGTAACTATTGTAGCGGTGTGTCAGTGTTCATTAATGCCTCAAAAGTTCTGTCTCTCAAAAGTTTTTTGTTATTGCCAAATAGAAAAAAGTGTCAAGTTTTCTCGACTGAACTCTGTTTCACTGTGGTTCCGCACAAAAGTTTTTACTTGTAGGGTCTACTCTTTGGAAGTTGTGCAGCCCTCGAGCCTCCTGTGTGATCAAATAATGATCTACGGCTTTAATTTGAGGTTAGGCCTGAAAGAAGTCACTTCCATGTTGATGAAATTTGTTCATGATTCAGAGCTGCAACACGAATCGATGTTTGTGTCCTCTGCACTTTAACCATGAGCACACAGACAGGGGCCGAGCTCTGACGAGGCACAAAATTATGACCCCCGGAGTTTCTGGAGTTACACAGAGCTGTCACCATGGTAACCGTGTCTGCTTAAATTTATTCTCTTAAGTGTGATGAAGCTATCCTGTTTACCTAAACTGGAAAACTGCTGTGGTTATACAGTCTAAACAAGCATGACTTCATAGAGGAACTGCTGTGGCATTAGGAACGGTTTCCTAGTGGGAAAGAAACAGTTTCTCTCTTATATAGGAGTTGTCTTGTGAATTAGAATTGTTTAAGAATTCGGTTTAATTGTGAGCTACTTGTAGCCTTTTAGGGCTGTGTCAGATCACATGGTGTGAAAGGTTTGCACTAAATGTATATTCTTAAGTCTTTAGTAAAGTCTTACTTATTGAATTAATACACTATCAAGCCCCATTGTTCTAGAATAATAATATCATGAATCAGTAATGATAGTCCAGTAGCCCATTTGCAGTCCATTCCTGTCCCCCACGGGCACATTTATCTTATTAGAAAATACATTTTATGAAGAAAATAAATTCTATTTCAAGGAAAAATTGAAAGTGTTTGACTATTGACACCTGTTTCCAAACATGCTAAATAAGAAAGCAAGCTCCTGCCGAATGACCTGCTCTCTAAATCAGCCTTTTGGCTTTCCACTGTCTAAACTCTGTTTTTATTCCTCGTGTCTAAATGAACTTATCTGTCAAAGGGCTGGCAACATAGTTAACTAGTTTACAGCGGACTGTGACACAGAATTGTGGTTGTGTCATACGCATACGCTGATGGAAACCTCATTCCCTATTTCTTCTAGGTCAACACTGTAAAAACACATGTTGACACACATTTACACCACCGCTTTAATGAGGCCAGGGCACATCAGCAGCAACTGAGTCCAATATGGGGAAACAAGGTCACGAGAAGAATGTGTTGTCCTGCAGACAGTTTTGTGTTAAAGCTCTGAGGGCTACCAGAAAACACCTGTTGCATCAATCTTGCCAAAAATACCGTGGCCTCCATATTTTTCTAAATTGGAAGACATTTGGAGTTTCTACCAGACCTCCCTGAAGTGGCCGTACCACCAAACTGCATGATGAGCCAGAAAGTTGTTGTTGCCAAAAAGATTATCAAGAGGCCAATACTCAGCAGAGAATGGCAGCAGAAACTGTGGAAGGACTGTAGTGCATAAGGAAAAGCTGTGAATTAGCTGGGAATGTCTGTAAACTGTAAACATTTGCTATGAAATTCGTTTCCCAGCTCAAGTTCAAAATTTCAGGCACAGACATGAAGCCTGTGTGAAGTGCAACAGTGAGCATGATGAATTCATGGCAGTGAGATCGGGTGCTTTGTCAAGGCAGGAATCAACTAATCAATAGAATTAAGTTCCTCCCACTTGCTAATTTCAAAATATTTTTAGTCCCATTGTTTAGAAAAAACAGAGATTTGAAGACTTTTAAAGTCTTTGATTAAATTGCCATTAAATGCATGCACATTTTTCTTTCAAAGTAACACTGAAGTTTGGCTTTTACTGTAGTGTTGTCATTTAATTAGAAAAAACACTTATTGTGAACAGTGACGAGGGAAACCTTTCCTATGGTGTTTTGAATATTATCTGCTTGTGTTTGTGTTTGAGAACCTGGCTCTGCTTTTACTGGTGCATTCATAGCAAATGAATGCTGAATCATTCATAATAAAAAGCCAGTCTAGAGCACTTACCCAACAGCTTGACTCCAAATGAATGAAGTTTCCAGCCTTTTCTCTGTCTTTGGAAACAGACTTTTGGCTGGAGACGGAGTTTGTGACGCGTGTGTTGTTTGTGCTGTGCAGGTTGTGATGCAGCTGGTTCGTCTTCTCCCTGATGGCCACAGGATGAAGAGGGAGGTGGACCTGGCTCTGGATTCTGTCAGCGAGACCATGACACCCATGCACTATCATCTGAGAGAGGTCATCATCAGTACTTACCGACAGGTACTTCTGGTATTCATTAATGGACGCTGAGCTTCCATTTTCTTTTTGTGTGTCTTAAATGGAAGGTTGTGTGTTTGGTTGTAGAATTTTCAGTTAAGAAATTGGTTTATGTACTCACGCTGAGACACAATCTGCATGCTAAGATTACTTGAGGGGCAGTTTCACACACAGACCTGTAGATGGCCTCAAGAGCTAGTTTTTGCATCTCCAGTTTGATATGAATGAGGGATCCAATGGACGTAGGTATGAGAAGTATGGTGTGGAAAATTATTCCATCACTTTGTAATTTAGCTCTAAAATTCAACAGAATTGTTTTATGGCACATGATGAAGTACAGTCAAAAGGGGAAAAAGACAGGAAAAGGATTTTTAGTGCGATTTTTAAGCTCTGACATACTGAGGTTTTATTATTTTGTGCTGTTCATGGTCCAGATATCGTCAGAGGGAATATCATACCACTATTAGTTACTAAGCTTTGAACAGACTTTAATCTAAAGAACATAAGGAATATGAAGAAGGAGACAGCCAAAGTTGAAATATATTTTCAGTCCTTGCCCTGTTCATGATTCAAAGTGTTTCCTAACAGTGGACATTGTGTTGTATTATAAAGGCATTATAAAGGCATTAAGTGAACAAATGTAGTTTGTTTTGAGGCCTTTCTTGAGTCTTTAGCGTCTGAAGCAGCACAATTCTGTTTTAGTCATTTGTAATGCAGACTAATCACGGTGCCTCTGTGCACAGTCAGCCGTTCTCAGCACGCTGGAGACACCCGGTCCTGTCTCCACCTTATCAATGGGCCTCATTGTCATATGAACCCTGTCGTTTGCGTATATTCTCTCTCTGCCTGTCACCTTCTGATGCCAGGCTCCAGGAGAAAGGCTCCATTTGAACCTACTTTCTAATCTGCGCTAAATGCTTTTTTAACTTAAAACAACATTTGATGTTTGGAAAGTATGAAATAAATACACCGTCTAGGACCATAAATGGAAAATAGGATTATTTGTGTAGTTATGGTGCTACTAAAAGCAGCATATAACTTTTTGCGTGGACATTCCCATGAGGAGCTTGAGGAAGCTAATGCTTAATTTACACACCAATTTCACATTTTCGGTGGTGAACGCAGACGAGCTTCCTGGTTCCATCACCTCTAATATACTGACTTACTTACTTGCATGTGTTTTCAGATCAATTTGTATTTTCACAACAAAAATATGGCTAAGACAGTAGTAAGAAGACTCAGAGTTAAACTCTGAATTGAGAGTTTTCTTTTAGAGCCGCTGTAGTGGTCTTCACGTTGGCACAGCTATTTCCCTCCTGTCTGAACCAGCAGCCCAGCTGATAAATAGTGCCAGATGTTGCAAGAACCAGCAGGCAGCAGCAGACTAGAAAAGGGGGAGAAAAAGGAAAAATGTCAACCCCCTCCTAAAATTTAACCTCCTACTTTTTTTTTTTTTACAGTGGTCAGAAAATGTGTCCATGATAGCGTTAAAGCTTGTTTACATCGGGACACAAGTTACCCAAAACTTCTTGTAAGAGTCTTAGAAGAGAGATGGGCTTTTTTTCTGGGGGTGTAGTGGATTGTGGATTTTTGAATAACCTGTAAATACCTGGTGCCAACCAGCCGTGACCCATCACAGCCGTGACATCCTCCGACATTAGGGCCAAAAATAGAAAGGGGCCATTTCCTCTTCCCTTCTGTATCAGTGCATCACTTAATCACCATCCTCTGTTTCTGTTTGTGCAACTGTGGCAGCTTTCTTTTGGCCCCTTGTCTTCTAGTCAGCCTGCACCTTCTGTGTTTCTCATATCTGTACGCTTCTACTTCCTGGACAGCAGTAATCTCAGCACGTCCAGTGTTACCTTTCAGCCCAACAGGCTTTGGATTGTACTGCTTTGACTTAGTTGTTTCCAAGCAGCATGCACTCAGTGACTTGGTACAGAGAATCTGATCAATGAAGATCACTGGCTTCCACCCCTGCTTTCAAAAGGCCTCTGAAAGCAAAGAGAGCAGCGCTGCAGAGTCTGACAATGTCAGCAGCTCCATTCCTAAATCCTTTTTGCTGGGCGAGGGTTCCAGTGACTTTCCCGTATCACCTCTTCTCAAAGACGTGATGCTTTTCCACCCAGGTGGTGTGAAGCACACAGCTCTGGAGGGAAAGAGCTACAAATCATGCCCGTGTGTGCGTGTGAGTGTGCGTGTGTCCAAAGAAAGGCGCTCATGGTTTGGAAGGGGCAGTGGAAAAATATTTTCAGAGGGGGAAGAATGCTGTGAGCAGGTTTTCTTGAGGAAAGGTAGGGAACTTCTTTAGGAAAGGAGTAAATGGGGCTTTTAGGTAGGGACCACCGCAGTATTGACAGCAAGATTAATTTAACTAAGAAGGTAGAGGAAGGATTTGAAAGGATGGATTGAAAAATGAGTAAATAAAGTGGCAATCACCTTACCAATTCAGTACTTTTTCTAACCTATTTCCCATCTTTGCCATCAATATTTAGTCTCGCTTTGGCTAAAGGATTGTAGCGCTAACAGTTGTCTGCTCATTTAAGATGGCCACTGCACATAAGGAAATCAATTACAGGCAAGAATTAGTGAAAATCCAGACACATTTTGGCTGTAAAATGAGCCAGGCAGGTCCTCCTTCCCATCGTAATTGTGTTTTGGCAGGAAAAAAGCAAAATCTGCAGTTAGACCTGTCACAACGTTGGGGGAGAACCGTTAGGGAACGTGCATGTTGTTCTTATTTTTGACTTCCCGATTTCCACATGCAAATCCCTGCAATATTGCTAGCCATCTACAAAGAGACTTATTTCCATCTCAGCAGGTGTAACCAGCTGACGTGGATAACCTTGACTGTCTGTATAGGCTTTTTCAGAATAGATGTTTTTCTATGCGTGAAATGACACATAGAGGTAAACAAAGCATCTCTGGGGAGAAATGATTAAGTAGTTCTACATTGCTGATGGAAGAAAAAAGATTGGAATGGGGAAAAAACATGTAATCTCTTCATATATATTCCAGTTAAGTGATGCCCTATAGTTGGTACTTATTTGTAACTTGATTCTTCCAGCTAAGCATCTTTTAAATCTTGTGTGAGGATGTTTACGAATAGAAACACCCTCACACAAAATTTGTTTCCATTCGTCCCTTTTGGTATTCCATTGTACATTTTGAATTTCCTTTATGTTATGGCCATCCTCTTTTCCTTTTCAGCTTTAAGCTTTTCTTTCATTATGTTGTTTGGATGTTTGTCATATCTGGAAAAAAAGGAACTAAAACATTTGTGATGCAAAATCGGCAGATGGATTGCTCGTGTGCTAAAGAGCAGAATCAAGAGATCAAACTTTCCCAGCTCTGCCTTACTCTCTCCGGGTGACCACTTTGCTAATTATCATGCTGTGCTGCCATGTCTGCTCCTTCTTCTTATCCTGAATAAATAAACCTGCCATGACCTGACCTTTGCTATGACCCTCCTTTATGCCTCCAACTTCCCAGAGGTTTGAGCACACCCCCCTGCCCACAAAGGCACAGACACTCACACATAAAAAAGAAATGAGTGCCTCTAAAACGATGCCGGCGTGTTAAATCACGCCCCTCTTTGCTGTGGTCATGGTATCTGTCAGAGGTCCCCCGGGGCCCCAAATCATTTCATCAGGAAAAGGTCCACCTTTTTCACACCAGCTAGATAGAGGCAGTAAATAAATCAGACACCCAGTCTCAACAATGAAGTGACTCAAATGCCAACCATGTGGGATATGCAGCAGTTGTGACTGGGTCCAGTTGCTCCAGGAATCATCCCAAGGCCCCAGCGTGGAAGCTGCGTTTCATATGTGAGGACAGTTGTACAGCAGATGACTCCCCCAGCCATGACACAAATTGACACACACACACACACACACATGCTTATGATGATTAACATCCATAACAATAACAAACATAAAGAAACCATAAAGTTTTTAACACGGGTCGTAGCATTTGCAGATAATATTGGCAGATTTGCAGATCTTTGTTTAAAATTACCATTTATAGTCAATGCCTCTGGCAAATTTATCATCTAAAATATGTATTTTGTTCTCGCTGTGTTGTTAAATTATTGTTGCTACTATGTAAAGATAGCCTGAATCAAACAATCTTTAATCCATGGAAGTATTTTTCAGAAGAGTGGCTTAGAGGCATGAAATTTGCCTGGGCAGCATGTGAGTGGGACTCAGGCACTATTAAATGAAAATATTTTGAGAAGTGAAACTCCCGATAACAGAAAAACTATGCTCTCCGTGTAGCTCTGGCCACTCAAAACACTCACCTCCATCAACAAAAAGTCTCATTTGTCAAGTAGAGAGAACAATGGACGAGTTCCCCATTATGGAAAATATTGGATTTTCTTGTCACACAAATATGAAGAGTCACTGTCTGTCACACAGTTGCTTTTGTATAATCTGCTGACCTGTACACATTTGCCACACACACACAAACACACACACACATGAGGTAACAAACAAGACTAGCCTCAGCATTGCGGCTGGTAAAAAACATCCGCTGACCAAAGTGTTTGACCACGCCGTGGTGTGGTTAACAGACAACATGGCCTTGACCGTTTTGTGGCTGCCTCAAAAGAACGATTGCCACGAGTTCTATCTGCATCCTTTTTTTCTCTTTTACCACCCAGCATCTAAACAAAAAAAGGTATTCTGAGATGATAGCCGTCAGATTAGCCCTCGCCTGCTGACACACCATTTTGCCTGCTCAGTGTTGGATTCGCATGCTCAAGATATTTGGTATTTTTATAAGCTCAGAAAATGATTGATTCAAAGTGGGAGCCAGTGCTGTGTTGCCAGACATGTGCACGTACAGAATGTACCATAATATGTGTGGTTTATGTGGGCTGATATTCCAGTCTGTGTAGGCTAAGTTGATGAGCTCTGTCTCCTTCTGTGGCATTTATAATCTCCATTAACCAGACATGTCATGTATTAATTCTTGTTCCTTTGTCTTAGAAAATGGGAATTTTTAATTCAAAGTATGTTGACTATTTGCGGTACCATTCCCGTGTGTTTTTTCCAGGCACATTTCAGTAATGAACCTTTGTTTGATTGCTGTGAAATATTGAATCTATTTGCTAAAACAGTTCATATAAACAAGACTTGGCGTTTGAGTGAAAGAAAATTCCGGCTCCTGTCTAGATTGACAGATTGTATACAGCTCTGTAAATACAGTATGTGGGTTGACACAGCTTGCCCCTAAAATCCACCTCTGCTTTGACGTCATGATTTAATCAGCACAGTGTGGCTGGGCGGCTGGAAAAAGACAGTCTCGGAATCTGCAGAAACCATTAGCATAAAGTCGTCTTCATCTCCTCCTCTGGCTGACTGCTCCATTGCTTCTTTGTACCTTTGAAAAAAAGCAAGTTTGACCACCTTCTTCATCTATAAAGATCAGTCATCCAATTGCCAGCCCGATAATGCATACCTTTGATTACTTTGCTGGCAGTCCAGGCTGACTGGGTGGGCGGATGTTCATTGTTTTGCATGAGCAAAAACTTTTACAACCCTTAGAAATGCATTTACGGTAGTTTTCAGTGGATCTGCCACACTTTCAGGATCTAAGAGAAGAAAACAGTAAAAGCTGCCAAATGTGGGCACAATATCAATGTGACAATACGTTTTACATTTTAACGGAGAGAAGAAGATGAAACGAGATTTCGGGGGAAAGAAAAACTAGGATCCAACTGTGCACATATTAAAAGCTGGAAAGTAAAACCTCTGCAGACAACTTTTTTTATCTTTGTGCTACAGATCTGGATGGATGAGGGCGGTGGTGGTGTGGAGGTTAAAACTGTCACCTCACAGTGAGAGGGTTCCCCCGCTGGAATCCCCAGGGCACGGGGGGGGCGTTTCTTTGTGGGTTCCCTTCCGGGCGCTCCGGCTTCTTCCAGTCCTCTAAACATGCATGTTAGGGTAATTGAACGCTCTAAATCCCCCTGAGGAGAGAATGTGTGCAGCGTGGTGCTGTGATGGCGACCCGTCCAGGTGTACACACCTTCTCACCCAATCGTCAGCCGGGATAGGCTCCAAAGTGTCTGCAGAGATGAGAGCAAACCTGACTATTACTATTCAGGTATGGAAGATAAACAAATGAACTCCTCAAGTTTATGTAGTTCATTAATCCAATATTAGTCCCTGAGCACTTCATAGAGAGGAACATGGTACTGTTCCCTTATCAAGTAAGTGGTGGGAGTGGGGCCTCTCTGAGTTCAGCGACAGCACGCCAACATTAAAGTAAAGGCCACTTTAATGAGGATGAGTCAGACACGCTGTCCTCTTTTCGTGTACACGGGTTTCTGCAGTCGGAAATCCATCTGGACAAACAGTCTAGTTTGCAAAAAACTCTGAGTTGAAATTTTCGCACATACACCAGAAAACAACAGCATCCATTTTTCAACATGCTGTTTATCCAGCCCTTATTTATTTACTTTAAAAAGTTCTATCTTTGGCCATGACTGAGTGTTAGACTGCATTGGATCTTTTTAAGTGTTGAAATCACTTGATTGTTGGTTTCATAGACCCCTGCTGCATGATTTACAATTGGAATTCTTATGCAAAGCACATTTTATATAATTTTTGAGTATCTTCGCCAGGTTTGGCTTTAGTTGCTTCTTAAATGTTCCCCACCCCCATTTCCTGTCTGTCTCGACTTTCTCCAACATGTGAAATGTAAAACTGAAAACGGCCACAAAAAAAAAAAAGAACACGTGTAAGGTGACTTTGGCAGTTTTAGTTTTCCCTGTGTTTAGTTAAAAGGCTATCAAACCCCGATTGTGATCCACTCAATGAACTCAATGTAAAAATCTGGATGAATGCTTGTCTATGAGATTTCTGTGCATTCACTCAGGAAGCCATTTGTATGCTTTCTGTCCTTTCTGGACGCGCTTGAGTTTAGGAATAAGGTGGGAGGTGTTCTCGGAGATTCAGATGAATAGCTGTTTGTGAAAATGTGTGTGGGAAGGGCCAGAAAGGGTTGGCCTTTTTACCTCTTCAACCCCATCAGCTGGTAATTGGCACCATATGTCAAACAGACGAACCCCTCCATAATATGCTCCTCTCACTTCAGTCCTCGCCCACATAAGTTTGACCCTCAATTCTCACCCGTCATTGTTCAGGGTAGTTCACTCCAGGTTTCCTGGATGGAAAATGAAATCCTTGCCGTCTTGACAGCACTAGGATTGTGTCTTTTCTTCAGTCACGCATTAATGCTCCTGAGTCCATCAGAGTCTGTGCCTAATGAACATGCCCATCCTACTACAGGGCTTCCAGTTGGAGTAGACTAATGGTGATGGCACACCCTGGCTAGACCAGACCCCGTAGATCTCAGTGGTATTTCTGACACAAACATCAAGGTGACATGTTCAATAATTGTGTTTCCAGCCCCCATAATCTGAGAAGGGGAAATTATTTTTGAACTGGCCAATGTTTTCTCCACTGACTTGTATCTGGGAGTGGTAGGAGGTGATAAGACTAACTTGTCTGTGAGATGTCAGTGCTGTCAATGCTCCTGCTTTTTTGGAAAACCAATTTGATGCGATTTACTGGAAAAGATATGCTGAAGTTTTTTTTTTGGTGCCCTTTAAACACCCCGGTGAGCAAAGTGTCAGTTGTTTGACAAATTAATAGCATCAGCAACTACATCGACTGACATTTCTGTCCCCCTGCATGCGTGTATAAAAAGATTTGGCGGGGCTAAACATGTCATGTCATCACTGTGAATTCCCACGGTAAATAAACACTTGCTGTTGTTTCCCTGCCTTTGAGCGTTGCGCCAACAGCTACAAGACAAGACCAGGCTGACCTTTTAATATCAAGGATATGATATTGCTTCAGACACGAAGCCCGTTATATAATAAGTATTTCAAACATGCACAAGTCCGGTTGTATATTTCAGGAAGGAGTTGTTTGTGCAATCTGTGTTGTAACCACAAACTTTCATCAACGTGGTCTGACATGAATGAAAGCCGGCCCATATTGTAGATTACGGTACAAAGTTTTTATTATATCACTGTATGAAATGTAATTATTTTGTTTGCACATTGCTAAGAAAGTTGGATAGTTTTGTGCCCACTGGACTTTTGCTTTCCATGTTGTTGTTTTTTTGTTTTTCTTTTTTTTCCTCACTGCTCTTAGGTCCAGTGTCTACTTCCTCAAAACATCAATTGGTTGAATTTCACT